AATAAAACACTGCTGTGTGTAAAACTGTCCCAGCTGTTGCCTTAAAGCAGATCTCTGTGCGGCCACAAAGCAATTTAAGTAGTAAAACTGCACATAACTGTTAACTGATGGAAATAAGATTGGCACGTATACAGGTGTGTTCCGAACACATTCAGTCTCCCTTAGGTCTTCCTGTCCAGGGATGTTATGTAACAATGTAAATGAAAACCTATCATGATTTGGCACACTGTGTCACAGTTGACAATGATTTCATTAAAAATAAAGCTGTACTAAAGAAAAAATGCTCACAGTTACAGTTACTTAGACTACACTGTGGTCCAGTCTCCAGAGTTCTGCATCAATGAAACAGCTGAGACAGTTGTTCGTGTCTTTTTCACAAGGCTCATGAGTGATCAATGAAGGCTGGTCATTTTTCCTACCTAGTGACTTACTTGGCTGTTTCTGTGAGGCCCTCTATTGCCGTTGTCTGATTTTGCACTTACAGGAGCACCACGTCATTGAACAGCCAAGGAAATGGGTGCACTACATGAGCTTCTTCTGTTAATGGTTACTCTGAGAGCAGAAGACAGTTCATGCAGTTCTGTGCTGCAAACACGGTTTGGAGCAGTTATTTCAGGTACAAGTAACAGAATGTGCGAAAACCATCTGAAGTTGTTGGGGAAAATGTCAAAGTGCTTGTGAAGTCCCTGAGCTCAAAACAATTAAGACTGGTTGAGCCAGATGATGTGTTGGGTAAAATGGTCACAGCAGTAGCATTAAGTTTTATACACTGAAATTCAGTCCTGCAGAACCTATTGGTGTTTTAAGATGAGCTGGTACTTGAAGCTAGCTTGCAGTGGTGAAGTGAGCTCATCAGTCAAGAAGCAAGTGTGCCAAGTCTGGGTCTCTGGACAGATTCTGCAGTACGGTGTTTAGCTGTGGGGCAGTCCACTGACTGCAGCGGGCCTTCGCAATCCACCTTTCCCATCTGCAGGGCTCCCAGATGGGCAGCTCGGCACGGACTGAAAGGGCGCACGTGAGTACATAGCCTTTGTCACATCAGGTCTACAGCTGCATTTATACTTCTGCCTAGGGGCTTTTTTATTGAGGGCTGTCGGTGTTAAAAGTTAGTGAAGATTATGTGATGGCACTTGCCTTAATATCTTTTCCATCACTTCACGAGAAAACATTAAAGATAGATGTAGAATTCAGTTAACATTCTCTAATAATTGCAACCCCAATGAAAATAAAGTTAGATTTTAATCGTGAAATAGAAAATAGACAAAATATTAATAAGGTGAAGGTAATAGGGGATGAATATTGCTATAATAATATCTAGAGTCTTTTTCTAAAATAATACATTCAAATGATGGACTTCATACTATTTTTGATTAAATACTTATAAAAGAAATATACAGTAGATAGCTAGACAGAGGAAATTAATCTGGAGAAATATTGCTAAAGCTGAAAGTCTGACTTTTAGTGATGTTTGCTCATTGTTTGTGTTGCCAAGAGAGTGTTTTCAGGAAGCTGAAGTCTGTAATCAGACAGTGGGGGCTGTGGTTTGGGTCAGCCAGCCCGTGAGGCTTTTCTTGTGTGGCTAAGACTGTTCCTAGCTATACAAAGGCCTGGTTAGACATCCTGCCCTGCGGTTCACGTAATGATACATATTGTCGAAGAGGAACTAAAGCAGAGCGAGCAGCGTCCGTGAAAACTCAACAAAAGACCATAGCTCGGGTTTCATAAGAATCTAAGCTCAATAATAACTGCTTGTTGAAGTGTTGATGTACAAGAGACCAAGTCTTAAGAAACTGTCACCATTCATATCTGTAAAGTTCTGCATACGTCACTATTTTTCTAATATCATTTCTTGTTAATTATCTCAATCTTCTAGAAGGGTTGGCGCCGCGGTTTGTTGCCCTGAAAAGCTTGTGAGGTGTGAACATGTCCCAAACACCTCCACTCATCTAACCACTGATGTTGGGTTACATTTGGTAATGGTTATCATAGCAACGGTTGTCAAGCACGGGCCACAGATGAGTGCTGTAGGACTGGCAGACGCAGGATTTGAAAATGTTGTTTCAGTTCCTTAAAGACTTGGGTGTTACTCGTTTTCAAAGCTCGGAGAACCTTCCCGGCCTTAGACGCTGCACCAGTGCTCTTTACTTCCTGTAAACATGCAGGGCGATATTCACAAGACCTCACTGGGGCACGAGTTATTTTGTTAGCGTGCTTTGAATGTACGGTTGCCGCGGCAACAGGAAGTGACCCTTCAAGCGCAATATCCCTTGAGCACATTCTTGGGGGGGAAGCCCACAGCGAATGGGATGTCCTAGTATTTGTCTACAGTGATTTACAGACGTGGCTTTAAAAAGAGTATGGTGAAAGAAGATCAAGTCATTCAGTTCCTTGGGGCCGCTGAGAACTGATCCAGTTTTGGTATCTTTGTTTCTCTGATCTTGTTTGAGAAGAATCTGTCTCTTTGAGTTGTCATGGTTTTGCATTCTACTTGTTTAAACTCTCTCTCTCTCTCGGTGTGTTCCTTCCGTGCCTTAAAACAGTTTGTTGTCCTGCCAGAGCAATTAAAGTAAGAGCTGCCGAATCTCTTGGTCCAAACTAAGCATCCATCTCCTTATACACGCAGCCATTGTCCTGGATGGAAAGAATTCCTTCAGGGCTAATATAAACTGTGGATTTCTGAGTGATGATCTTCTGGCTACTGTGCACTCATTGTGTCTTGAAGCAGATTCCTGAGTCTTACACAGACAGCTTTAGGAAACTTCTTTTGCAAGTAGGGGGGGGGGGGTTATCTTAACAGGAGACGAGAGATTTTACTGATGTGGTGACTTTGCAGGACTCTTTAGTTTTTGTCTTCTCTGTTTTAAGGTACTTGAACTGAATGTGGGAGGGGCGTTCCCTCTGTTAAAAGAAGTAAAAACCAGAAGTTGCTCCGCTTGTAGAAGAAAAAAAAAACAGTACACCAGCAAGCCCTGCCCCCTTCCACAGGAAGGGCTGACCGTCCAAGGGGAACCCCACCCCAGGGGGGATATAACTCGTGCCCTGGCATCATTCTCTAGCTTTTGTTCTGCTTTCTAAATTACACGGTTTAAAATCGCCATGCCAACAGCAGCTAGATCTCCAGGCTCAGGAGAAACTCCCTGATTGACAAGTGCCTGCTCACATCAAGCAGCGTTCAGAAGCACACAGAGCCTTCTGAATGATTGAACTGGGACTATAATGCAGATTTCCTGCTTAAAAATGAGTATAAATCCTTCTGAAAGTGGATAGGAAATTTTATGATAATAGTGCGGGGCATGAGGGCTAATAAAAGATCCTTGTGAGGCTGTTAGTGGGGTAATTTCATCATCTGGTTTAATTTGGCCATTGTATCAAGTCTGAATGATCTCGTTCCCCAGTGTGTGGTTTTTGTGCTGCTCCCAGTGCTGTTCAGCTCAGACGTCTGTATATCAGAGCAGCAGGTTATTTTAGTAGATCTGGCCTGTGGAAGGTGTGACCAGTCCCTGGGGTGTTAGAAGGAATTGGGTCAATGGGGCAGCTCAAGGGTCAGGGCCTGTGTAACAGAAACCAGCAGGAGGGCTGAGGGGATTGGCCCAGTTCATACAATAAATTGGTACAAATGTAAGTACTTTTGGATAAAACTAGAAATTATCATAAAGGTTTAAGCCGCCTAGAGATATGAATTGTCCTCATGCACTATTGTCAGAAGTGTTGCCATCTTGAAGCCTCATCTCACTAGATCCCAGAAGCTAAGCCATGCTGTGCCTGGTCAGTACTGGGAAATGCATCTGCATGGCACTTTTCCCTCTAGATTAAAATATGCATCTTTAAATATCCCAGTACAGCGACCAGGGACACTGCGCTGTTGGAGGTGCTATCTTTGTGACTGCATGTTAAACCAAGGTCCTCACAACCTGGTCATTAAAGACCGCAGGGCTCTGTTCATACGAGTACGAGTACAGTTTAGCCTGGTGTCACACTCTGGGCTTGCACAAGTGTGGCTTAACGTCAAGCTCCCTTTCGGCTGGTGTAGGAATTTCCCAGTTCTCCATCACCTGCTGTGTAGTAGGGCCACTGGCCCAGACTGGCTGCTGCACGCCATCTAGTTGGGTGGTGAACTTTGGTGAAGGATGAAGTCGTTTTCCTTTCCTTTATATAAAGCGCCTTGGGATCAAAGTACAATTACGTGCTATTACATATGATATGGCTGTTGTAGTCATTATTCTTGATAGGGTTTTGAGAGGAGCAATAACACAGGTTGTGAATATGAAAATCCATAAATGTTTTTCCACCCTGAATTCGCTGAAACTCTCGCCGGTTCACTACAGGATTTGGGTCAACGGGAAGAATTTCTCTTTGTTTTTTTAACTTTGCAACTCTAGTGACAGTATGGAGTGAGTTTGTCTCCATACAGGGAAAAACAGTGGCAGGATTTCCAGCTTCCAGTGTAATTAAGCATCCAAAAAAAAGCCCATGAATAAAACAGACTGATGCATGTTAACTGGCTCATGTATTTTTAATGCAGACCTTGGGTAATCATTGAGTACACTTCTCACATTCTCTGAATGACATGAAGTCAATGCTTGTATGCAGGACATATTACATTTTCTACCTTTTAATGGTTACATAACGGGGCACAATTCATTTGTCTGGGGTCATTAATCAATGATGCAGACTTTGTTAAATGTGTTGGACCGTTGTAAATTAACAGCAAAGTCCCGTGAACGCTGTAGGTAATTGAAGGAGAAGGGGGTTTATATCTGAACCTCCAGCAAGATCCAGAGGAATTGCATTATAATCAGGCTGGTGCTGCAGTTTGTGAGAGATCCACTTATTTTCAGTTATGAATCACATAGCTATGTGGGATTGGGAATTTACTGAGACAGCCTGGACTGGTGATGTTATTGAGGGTTTCTTGGAAGCGTGCCTCCGAGTAGATGTTTTTTAATGGTGGAATTGCAAAGCCCAGTGACCTGACCTGACCCGTGGCTCCTGTGTTTCAGATGGGAGGAGGAGCTGTCCAGAAGAGAGCAGATGGAAGCCATGGTGGAGACTCTGCAGGAGGTGAGAACCAGCCATTGTAATAGCAATTTTCACAGTGCCTTCACCCAGGCTGGCCACAACTGGTCCTCTAGGGCTTGAGGTTGTGTTTTCTGTTCACCAGATGTGAATGTCTACCAGCTGTGGTTTGTGATCCTCCTGAGTCCTTACTAAGCAGGCAAACCATGCACACTTTCTAGGTGATTAGGTTTCATGATTTCAAGAAAACCTGCCTGATTCCCGCTCTCTAGGACCAGATCAGGTCTCATGGATTCCATTAAACAAAGCAAGACAAAGTATGGCAAATATCCTATTCAGCTAAACAAAACCCAACTGCACCATTTCCATGTGGGAGTTTTGCAAATTTACATGCCAGGAGATGGGACTGTTAGTGTAGTATTAATATCGGCAAGAATAGTCCCACTCCGCATTTCACACAGTTTTGCCAGTCCAGCACACATAGCCCGAGGGACACAGCAGCTCCCACAGTGATACATGTAACTGTTCCTCATCAGCACGTTGCACGCAGCAGCTTGAGTAGTTTGTGCTGATGTTGCCACAGATCAATAGAAAACAAACATCTGTGTTTGAGGGTGGCTGTTTCAGCAAAACTGTTGCAATGAATTTTGTCCCCGAGGAGGTCAAATGAAAAACTGACACCCTCTTTCCTGTCCTGTATGTTACACATACTGTTGTTCTGTAATTCAGATATTAAAAGGCTGGGATTTTAAATTCTATTAGCTGCTGGTTAGTGTGGTTGAGCAGGGCTGGCTCAGTGCTGACTTTCTTTTCCCCAGAATGCTCAGGAATCGGAGATTGTTCAGGATGAGCTCAACGAGAAAGTCGAGAGGCTGAAGGCGGAGCTGGTGGTCTTCAAAAGCCTGATGACTGATGTGAGTATTGTCTCCTGTGTTGGTCACATATCACCAAGAGCGTGAAAACACCCTTTCACTGGACAGCTCTCCAGGCGTTCATATCTCTTTTTTTTTTTTTGTCGCATGCCACATTAATATCTTAATCTCACAGGCTGTAAAACCGCCCTGTTTTTTTGACTTGGCAGCTATTGTGCAGAGAAATTTCTTTTTCTTTTATAAAAATTAGACAAATCCTGCTGTTGAGTCTAGACGGACATAAATCTGTCTCGCTGCATCTGTCTGGGCCTGTGCCTGTTCCATTCACATCGAATGCCTGCCCTGTAAGTAAACTGTTACATGTATGTGGGAAGTTGTTTCTCTTCCCTTATATGGCTTTGTAAGCAGCCTGGAAAACTTTGTTTAAAACAAACAGCCTAACCGTTTTGAAGCGCATTCAATGAATGCTTCGTGAGTGAGGGCAAAGAGGAAAGGCATCTGGAAAAAAACAGAAACGGTTGATCTCGGGTCATGCTGAAATCCCTTGTGCTCTTTTTTTCTTTGCTTTTTTTTTTAACTTGGCACTCATCTTTATCCAGTAATAAACAACAGCTGGTTTGCCTTCCCACATTTGTGTTTCGCACAGTGTATCTGGAACAGCTAGAAAGCGATTCCCTAATGAAATTGTAGGGAGCAACTTGGGCTTCTTCTGAACAGTCTTGGCAGGTTCGTTTTTGCTGATTCATGTCACTTCCCACATCTGATAGTCATTGTTACTCAGTTCCTGGGCCATGCTACCAGATGTGGCTCTTAAGGAGCTACTGGAGTTTCTGTAATGCCTCTTGGGCCTGTACACACAGTCCCTGGCACGCTGTTGCATTGAGAATTTGACCCCTGATCTCACAGACTGTCTGTGAACCAGGAAACCCCCCACACACACACTCCTCTGCCAAAACTGCACATTAGCTCTTGTGTGGAATGTCTTCTACTTTTTCCACTATGAACATTTTTTGGGGATCTTTCCTCGCACTTTCTCTGTTTTGTCATTACCAAAGACAAATGCCAGGAGTCTGCATTTCAAACTGGTGAAGACAGTTCAGCGGGACTGGGACCTAAAAGATGCCGACCACATAAAAAAAATTAACTGGCATAGAATGACATCAGGCTATATCATTATGTTGAGCTTAACTCACAGTGAAATATCCTCATAAAAGAGGATGTTTCGGTTCCCTTAGGGTGAAGGGATGTTCTTTCTGACATCCTGGGCAGATGCTTCAGCGATGTGAGGACATTGTAAAATGCTTTAAGAAGGAAGCATGTATTAGAAAAAAGGTTGAACCAGCAGTGACTAAGTTCACCACCCTTTGCATCTGATGGATGTCTAAACAGTTGTTCTAAATTCCTGACCTGCACAGTAATGCTTCCATTCTTATATGGACAGTTCAGTTCTGAGTGTATCTGTTCCACACTAGGATTCCCTCCCGGCCTATATTGCAGGAGATGTTTTCATTTTCGTTTAAAGCTATACAGTACTGCAGTACAGCACAGGCCCACATTCATACTGTTGTATGCCGTTTTCAAAATATCCCAGCAGAAGAGAATGATCTTTAAGACAAGCTCATAAAACACAGAAGCTGAATAATTTTGTTTTTATTGGACTTGATTTTCGTCCTCAGTTGAAAGCCAACATTGCAAACATGAATGAAGCTGAGAGTGACAATTAAATTCGTTGGGAATAATTGAGGTGCTGCAGGTCAATGGTAGCCCAAGTGAACACAGGGAGAGCATACACACTCCATGCGGATAGCAGCCCAGGTCTGGAATTGTGTGGCAGCAACGCTAACCACTGTATCAGTGTGTTGCCCCCAGGGCTTGAGTCTCCTTATTCTGTAAAATCAGCTCCCTGCTGCTCAATCCTCATGAGTCCAGGCAGAAGCCACTGGGATTGGGTTCATTTGTCTTGTAATCAAGACATGACCAACATCCCCTGAGCTGCATTTGCCATTCCAGTAAAATTGCGCTGGTGCGTGAGATTTCAGAACTGCTTCTCGTCTCGTTCTCTTCCTATGAGGGGAGTCTAACACTGCCGTGAAGTGAAGTAGAATAAGGCTGTGGTGAAAAGGGACAGCCAAAAGTTGGAGTCTCTGCAGTGCTTGGTCAAAAAGATAGACGGGCTGTGCCGGATAGTTGATTCCCTCTGCTGACTGTCGTTTCCCTTTCCTTTTCCTGCTTCAGCAAATGTCGGACCTGGACACCAAGATCCAGGAGAAGGCCATGAAAGTAGACATGGACATCTGCCGCCGGATCGACATCACCGCCAAGCTGTGTGACGTGGCACAGCAGCGGAACTCCGAGGACATGTCCAAAATGTTCCAGGTTAGCCAAACCAGACCGCCGATGGAGAAGCAGCGGGTAGGCTCCCTTCTATCAGCTCGTCCGCTGCCGTGGACCTTACTAAGCATAATACATTCCGGTCATTACCCCAGTGCAGTGGTGAAAGAAATTGTAGTAAAAGCAGGGTAAACTTTAACTTTAATACTTCAAAGCATGACACAGAATGTGGTAAAATCTTGGCGAGCCAGGTTGATTGCATAAGCATTGCAACACCGTGCCAAACTGTGCTGCTACGTAAGAGCTCTCTATAATGCAAAGGGCTTGTGCGCCAGAGGATACAGAAATCAGACTTCAGCCAGTACAAGTTTTTGATATTACATCTGTATGCCTACCGGCAGGGACTAGAAGACGCAAGTGCAGTACAGCGCACTTTAATTCTGCGTGATCATTTACTGTGCGCGGGATGTTTTCTGATGCACGCCCTTAGTGGAAAAAAATGTCATTTTTATGAGGGTGACAATCCATTCAGTAATCCTCCCTCTGTTCGACCTAAGCATTACATGTCCCTTAATATTGCCTGTTTTTTCGAGCTGTACGTTTTAGCTGATCTGCAGAATATTTTCTGTACTTGACAAGAAAGCTGGCTGGTGGCCAGTTCATTTCAGCTCCCAAACCCAGCTCCTCCTCCTCTCTGGATGGTGGCTGTTCAGAGCAATAACCACTGCCACCTCCTTCATTCCCCCTTCACGCAAACTACTGCGTTATACAGCACTGCACAGGATGTCCACCCAGCACTGAAGGGTTTGGCCTAGCCTGGCCTGTACTGGGCTGGTCAGTGTTTTATATAGCATCTTTAAAAGTAGCTTCTCAAGGCGCATTGCAGGAAAGAAAATGGTTAAAACAAAAAAACAGTTAACAAAGATAGGAACATTAGCACCATTAAACACAGGGGAATGTTAATGCAGTAGAGGAAGCAAGGAGCAGACACATACACCAATCTGAGCATGGATTTGAACGTGCTCTGGATAGATGACTCTCTGATATCCTTGGGGGTATGAGTTGTATATGTTAGTAGCACTCAGGCACTGCAGGTCCTGAGATCTATGTGGGAGAAGTGTTTAAAATGTTTTAAAATGTCAGGGAACATGGTCACCCAAAGTGATCATTAAAGGTGCTCCCATGGAGCTCAGGCAGGAGCCCTATCATGTCGATGGCAGAGGTCTGCACACAGACTGTGGCGTCAGCCAGCGCTTAGCAGAATTCCTTGAGCAGCAGTGCACAGCTAGCCTGGTAGCAGGTAGAGGTGGGTGGGTCAGAGTGAGCCAACAGATCTTACATGTGCTGTGTCACAGCAAGCCCTGCGAGCTTGTAGTGTCACTGAAGAGCCACATCGCTTCTCCCATGGGTGCTTCGGTGTCTGTCATGGGCGCTTTGGCCCAGAGGGACAGGCAGATGGCACGACAGGTGCCCATCTCTTAGGGCTCATCTGCAGCCTTCATGTCTTGACACCTTCTGGAGAAAGAAGAAACAAGATTATTGGTTTTTAAGCATTAAAAAATGGAAAAATGAGTCTGTTCTACAAAATGCCCAAGAAATAAAAAGCTGGTGCTGGATTAACATTGTAAACATTTTAAAAGTTTTCATGATTGAAATTTCGGTTGATTTTATTAATGTGCTTTTATAGGAGGTATCTGATGTATGACTGCTCACATGACTACTGACAACTGCTGATTGTCATTCATTTGAGGTGGTTTTTGACGCCAGTTGGCCTTGGGCAGCAGGGCCAGCTTTGGAAGTCACTCTGGACATTTGTGATGTAACACATGGCTGTTCCCTTTTGGGAGGATGTGGCTCAGCCTGTCGGTTTAAAGTGATTTTATCAAACAGTGGTTATCTGAGTTTCTGGTGCTGTTCAGTTCAAATAGGAAAGCAAAAGACTTGAAACAGCTAGATGTTCCTCCTTCTTGTGTGGCTCCAAATGTTGCAAGCTGTAAATAGCAAATCAGATACTGTTATACTAACGGTAAAGAAGTTTGATTGTGCATTGTGGAATTCTAAAGCCCACAGCAAGCCAAGCTGAAAATTTAAAAATGTAAACGTACATTATTACGGTACAGTTCTGACCCCAGGGCGCAATCTGGCACTGGTTTATTGGTGCAGTCCTGGTCTGCAACGGGCCCAGTCTATATCATACTGGCCTGGTGAAGTAGGAGTCGGTGCTGAGTTGTCATCTCGGCTTTGCTGAAGGTGAACACGGTGTGCAAGAAGAAGGAGCGCAAACCGATGTCGGACGAGGAGAGCTCAGAGATGGACGCTGACCCCAGCTGTAATTCCGAGGATGATGTGGCTGGATCGCTGAACATCACAGATGAGATGAAACGCATGCTTAACCAGCTGTGAGTCCCCTGTCTTGTAGTCCTGAATGCTGGGGTTTTTTACATCTTCATAGTTAAATGAAACATTGGAGGAGCTAGTCGTACTATTTGAGCTGCTTTGATTGGCCATTTATAAGGCCTGAATTCATTTTGCTGGAGTAAAGTAGATGGAGTTGGTCAGGGCTATGTGTAGTATGTGATGCTATTTAAAAATGTCTTTAAAATTCACACTCTTCTGAAATGTGAAAAACAAATGAACAGTTAATTCAGTTATCATCAGTACAGTCTGATGAAAGTCATTCAGTTTTCCTCCAGGACCAGGCATGGAAACCACTAGTGTCAGTCCGTGCTTGGCTTATGGGTTAATCTTACAGTGCCACCTACTGGCAAGCTAGGGAATGGAGCATAACAGATGAGTCCTAATAAGAATTGTTTATCAAGAAATGATTTAAATGATCATTATCTTCATCTTTTTGTTTGTCACATTTTCTGAAGAGTGTGAATTTCAAAGACCGTTAAATAGACCCCTGACTTGGATTTTCAGCAGCCCTTTTCACTTCAGTCACATGTCATTGTTGAGGCCTGTTTCTCCCTGTGCCTGGTGGGCCTGACGCACACAGAGCCCTCCAGCAGGTTCCCTGGGTCGCTTGTCCAGCGTCTGTTAATGCTAAAACTGAAGCACAATGACACAGCGCTTCAGTCTAAAAAACTGGCTCGCTTTCAAGCCCTCTGTGTGTATCTTGCGCTCATTTAACATCCAGGCCTCACTGTGAATTTTCAGCTGCAGTTTTGCAGGGCTGAACCAGTCCCTCAGTACCAGCTCGCTGTCATTTCCACTTCTCTTGTTTCTCCTCTTCTCTGTGTGCGGACGCCCCTTGAATGTGGTGGCTGTTTTGTCTTCCCCTTCCCCCCTCTCTCTCTCTCTTTCTTTCTGGCCCTCTCTCTTTCCCTCCGTCTCCCTCTCTCTCTCTCTCTCTCTCTCTCACATGCAGAACTTGCTCAGACTCTTCATTTGTTGCCAGGCGGGAGACGTTCGACTTCGACGACGACTGCGACAGCCTGACCTGGGAGGAGAACGAGGAGACGCTGCTGCTGTGGGAGGACTTCACCAACTACAACACGCCAGCCGCCATCGCGGCGGCCGCGGGTGGCGCCGAGGCCCAGGGAGAGGGGCAGGATCCCGTGAGTTCCCTCCGTCTCTGTCCTGCTCTTTGGGCCGAGGTGGCTGCCTTTGTCCGCCTTTGTACCTGGCAGGAAGCACAGCAAAACGTCTCCACCACTCAGCTGACAATAAAGCGCCACAATGGGATGGCGTTTTAAAATCGGCACCGGTGGAAACAGGTTACCTGCGGTTTCCCTGGTGCTGCCTCAGGACCTGCTGGCTTGCTGTCCTGCACTGTAGTTAAATTAACTGCATCCGGAGTGCTCACTGGGCTGGTAAACGCTGGGCGTGACGTTTCCTCGACCTGGAGGAGAACAGCGTTTCCTCGCTAGTGTCGTAATTTAGTGCGTCGTAATTCAGCCCTCCACTCCCACACTCGGGGACCCCTCCCTGCTTTAGAGCGTGAGGGGGATCTCGGCCTTCTCCTGTCTCGCACTGCTCCTCGTCATCTAGGAGTGTTACTGCTACAGCACTGTGACACAGAGAGAGGAAAGGCTTACACAGGCCTAAGACATTTGTTACAGAATGACTCTAGCTTGTAACATACCCGTATAGTATAAACACCACCTATGTAATCGTCTGTAAATGCATCTCTTTAGAAGGACTGTAAAATTAAACATTTTAAAATGTTTGTTTTTAGCATCGTGTTCTCCAACCCCCGTCTGAATTATGTCACATCGGCCCGGTTTGTTTCCTAGGGCGCTAACGCAAAGAATGCGCGACGTATATACGTTGAGTACAAGACCTTGACATTTCTCTGTTCTTGCCCCGTCTCCTTGTAGAACTCGCAGGATGAGAGCCTGGGGAGTCTGATTGATGAAACGGAGACCCTGTTCAAGACACGAGAGCAGGAATACCAAGAGACGATAGGCCAGATTGAGGTGAGGAGGCGATTCCTGCACAGAGGCGGGTGTATTCAGAGGCCACTCCGCCAATTGTATGACTTCCCAGAGTAGTTTTGGGCACCTGAACTAATTTTGTTTTCCAAAGTGCAAGTGAGTTTCCGTTTTGGATTTTTCCTTTGTAGTTTTTGCTGACATTTAACTTCTTTCATCTATTAAAAGGGTCAGATGGATTATTCACGTTTTGTATGTGCGTCGCTTGTAATTGAAAGAAGAGATATTATTGGGAGGGGGACAATATTTTTGCAAGGCACCAGGTGGACTAGAGTAGCCAACTGAACATGAAGAAGTATATATTATGGAGTCTGTTATATTAGAAAAGCAAAGATCAACTGGGTTTGCCATGGATATAATTTCTTTAAAAACATCATATAATTAGATAATTGCTCAAATTCCTGTATTAAACCGATAATAAGTAAACATCAAAATCTTACTCTGTGCTAATCCTTATCATGAGAATACGGTAGCAGTCAGTCTTTATCTAAGACTGCGATCAATTCCTAATCCTAAAAGGCAGGGTCAAATGTCAAAATCCAAAATGGAAAAAGACCCCTGCATTTCCACTGCTCTTGTGCAGCCACTGAGCCACACAGCACCAGAGCCTCTCTGTCCACTTGGAGAGCTAACTGTCTGTACGTCTTCACCTCCCTATAGTAGGGATGGGCCACTCTGGTGCTTCTGGTTTAATTCCATATGAAACCTTAACGACTTAATCGGATTAATTAAGTAGATAGTACGTTAAGATTTTTAGAGGTGTTTCCAGGGTTAATTGCAATTTTCACATTGTCACATTGTGACTTCCATGTTCGGGTGGGTTGATACAAGTAATACATTTCTAATGGCTTACAGTGTGTCTAATTGAACAAGGAACACATCACTAATAGAGTTCAATGCACCTCTGCAGCCAGGGCTTTGCCAGTGGAACAATGCTGGGAGGCCGCAGGGTTAGGCTCTACCTCGGCCCCCTCTCTGCTCTAACCCCCCCTTTCCCCTCTCTCCTCTCTCCCCTCGCCCCCAGCTGGAGCTGGCCAACGCCAAGAGCGACATGAACCGCCACCTGCACGAGTACATGGAGATGTGCAGCATGAAGAGGGGGCTGGACGTGCAGATGGAGACCTGCAGGAGACTCATCAAGAGGTCGGGGGGGAGGTGAGGAGAGCGTGCGCCGCCACCTTCCGCTCGCCCACAAGGGGGCGCTGTCCTGGCACGGCCGGCGGCCCTTCTCACCCGATCTGTCGCAGGAGTTTGTTCCAGTCGGTGCTAATCGTTTTTGTCCTTTTGTCTCCGGCCTCCGTAGAAACTCGCCCTCCTTCAGCTCGGTGGCGAGCAGCGACTCAGGGAACACGGACGAAATCCAGGACGAGCTGGAGAGAGACGCGGAGGGAGACGGCGCCAGCAGCTGATGAACGCTCCTGCGCTGCTCCGCGTTCGGGGACCCAGAGGGGACAAGACATATTGGGGTGGGGGGGGGGGAGGGGAAGAAATTTGGAAATGAGACACAAACGCTGTACTCCCGCCTCGACACGACACTGGGAGACCCTGAGTTTGTCCCCGAGGTCTTAAAACGACAGCAATGACAAAGACAACTCCCACATTTGAGGATTGGTGCTTAACATTTTTATTCTCATAGAAATCGGTGAATTCTTCTGCTTCAAGAGTTTAAGACAAAGATGTAGTGTTACTGCTTTGCTGTTTTCTTAAGCGCTGCGAGTCCAGGCTTCTGTTCTGCTCTTCACAGGCTTGAGGAGGGCAGTTAGGCCCGAGAATCAGGGAGCTTCCCTGTCGAAGGCAGGAAAGGACAATGTCAAATAGCAAAGGCTTTGACTTTGAATTAGAGAATGCCTTTATAGATACATAGAACTTCTTGCATTTCCAAGGCCAAGATCATTTTTTAAAAATAGATTAATTTTAATACAGACGTGCTATAAATGAAACATACCGATCTCTTTCTACAGTGCCCTGGCTGAATAAAATGAGTCCCTGTGTCCAGGGCGCCTGTTTGGGCTGCTGGTACAAAGGTAATTCAGCTTGCGTGTTAAATATTTCACACAAGTCTGGAAGAGGGAGTGATCATGTTCTACAATATACCCAGAGAGCACGCTGAGCCAGGGAGAGAGAAATAGGTGATAAAGACACAACCCACGTGTTATCCCTTCTTAATAACTGGAGAATGGATAAGAATGTAATGGGGACCTGTTTTTATCCTTCAATATGTATACAAGTATCTATGTATGTCATATGGTCTTCATTTTATTCAGGCAGTGCATTATGCATTGAAATTTGCTGAAAATATTAAATACACAAACAAGATGGTCCAATTTATATGCTTATCTTCAGATTCATGCAAAGCAGATGAATCATTCCTTCACCATGAAGCCAGCTCATCAGGGGGATTTAGAGCAGTTGTTCTTGCTCTTTCTTGCAGAGCATTGGAAATAACAGCTGATAGGTGATAATGCTGAGCCTGTTGTGGAGCAGACAGGGCCCAGCAGTGCTTAAGGAATTTTGCACAGCTCTTGCTGAATAACACTGTGTTAAAGTACTATGCAATAAGCGAGCCTTATTTCTGGGAAAATCTTTATTACAAAAGAAATTTTGGTTTTGCCTTCGTTTTGCTAGGAAGACTTGTGCATCAGTGAATCGAGATGCTTAAATGTGATTCACAAATGCAGAAGGAATGGGAGGCTTTCAGATTTTTGCCTAAACCTTCCTTTCAATTAAAAAAAGAAAAATTAAATAAGGAACAGTGTCCTACGTTTTCCACTGTGGAGCAGGAGTGCTAGCTACCGCCTGAGCATGGACCAGTATGCACTTTATTCTTCGGTGTAAAGTTCTCACGATATGTTTTCATAGAATAAAACATTAAAAAGCCAAAAGATTGTACTGATAGGAAGTTATAGAGCCATGTGGTTATTGTTACATATACTGAGAGGCATTAAAATGCAATACATGCTATTGTTTCCAGTACTTATTTGTTGCACATTTAAAACCTCTTAGAATATGTAAGTGGACTGCCTTATTCTAGTAATTCTCTGCACTCACATTTAAAGTGGTTAACATCCTTCTGTTCACTCCAGATTCTTTTTTTAATACAGAATATTACTACATCCAGAGTCTTAAACAACTGGCCAACAAGTACAGATTTCTATGTAAATTGGCAACAGCGCTGAACAATTCCATGAAATGAATCTACAGGTTTATTGTAAGGGATTTATTGTTGGATGAGTGCAGTTTACAGCAATATTTCTTGCTTTTTTAAAACTGAATGTATTCTTGATAAAATAAAACGTTTCTACACACAAGCCTAAGAAAAAGATTTGCTTAAAATCTATAACAGAATACTTTTGAAGTCCGTATCCAGGCCAAGGTATTTTAATCTCGCCACACTTACAAAATATGCACTTGCTTAATGGTGTGTGCCATTACGTTAATCTGATCTGAACTAATTCTGTTTAATTCCAAGCCAGTGAAAGCAAGTCAGTACAATTGGCCTTTTCTCCCTTCTAACCTGGATTTACAGTGACTCAGCACTGTACTGTGATCATGCCCAGATGCCATGTCAGTCCAACAACAAGTTTTGTTGGAAATTGTGCCAAAATTGAAACTAAGTAACATGGTGTTATTATGATTGAATTTTACATAAATTGCATTTGCAATAGAAGGTTTTGCATTGAACCACAGGGCTAGATTTTAGCTGTAAATTCCTCTAATCCTTCACTTTCAGTGATAAGCTGTGGTAGGGATCTGATCATTTTCCTAATTAACGATACATTGCAGTGGAGTTTTTTCAGTCATCATGAAGTCATCTTTAAACAGCCATCTGTGAGTTTAAAAAACTTATGTGGCAGACTAAGAAGCTCACTCAAAGGCAAATCTACAGATCTCTGTTTTTAAGCCCATCTTCCTGCCAAGTCTGCTACCTAATATTGCTCTGGTTCTAGTAGACCCTGTCTTCATCCAAGCTCCTCAGATGGACACTGTTCCTTATACATTGTCTGTTTTCTATTAGAATTTCAATTAAACTCCTAAAGCCATTTCTTGTATATAATGTTCTGTTGGCTTTTGATCATACCTTAGTGGCCTTTTGTTCCAATGTTTTCCAGTCGTAAGTTAATATCATCCATGTTCGTGTTTTGTGTCTCCATTCGCCTTTGTATTCCAATGCTATCAAGCAGGTGAAATATAATAATGTAGCGAAATAGAAGAGAGAGGTGAAGGGGCTGGGTAGGGGCTTTAAGCAGTGCTTTAAGCAGTGAACATGTTCCTGTTCAGAATGCAGAGCAAGATCTAGTCAACAGCAAACATCCTGCATTTGATAAATATGAAAAACAAAATAATGAGGGCTGCATTTTTCTTTGCAGCATGCTTCCAGTAGAAGGCTAATGCCATTTGTTTGTATAAGTTTATATGTGGAAGGCTCCGTTGTGACATATTGTATGAGCTTAGCCTTCGCTAAGTAAATAAGGGTTGTGGGCAGAGAGGCAGTGTAGCATGATATCGTTTCTGCCTCATCTGCCTGTTGATGTAACAAGTAAGTCTTGTTACAGTGAGTAATCAGTAATCAAACTGTACTCGTGCTGTGGGAACGTTAAGGGATTTAAAGAAAATCACCTCTTTGGCATATGGGAGCTGGTCACTCGTCTCACCTGCCAATTTTATTGCTGGATGGTTTTAAATGTCTCCGATCAAGTGTCATATTGACACTTTATCAATTTGTTTTTAGACTTTAAATTGTATCGGTCATTACTGTTCACTGAGATTTTATTTTAAAAAAGCTTAGAAACAAGTTGGGGGATTTTTTTATGCTGTTCTAAGGGGGGAAGGGGGCAGATCCATGTAGAAAATAATGGCTCAGGTTTAGCAGTCTGAACACTGAAGCAGAAACTGTTCTTCGTGTGGCGGAATGAAAAAAACCTTGCACACAGTCTGTGGAGACCTTCGCTTGCCAGATTGCTTTGAAGAGTGTTTAACTAGACGCAGTGCTGATTAGTACAAAAAAAAAACTGGAAACCGACAAAATATCCTTCGTGTGTCCTCCAAAAAGCTTCAGCAGAAAGAGTTTAGAAGATCTTGCGGTCTCATTACTCCATTGGGTCAGTCTGTTCTCTGGGGAGACAGAACAGTGGGCAGAGAGACAGAGCAGATCTTTTAGTGCTCTATTGTACTGTAATTTTTATATATTTTTATAATAATGATCATTATTATCCGTCTTTGGGCAGGGGTGCTGATGGGGAAACTGCTAACATTGTGAAACAGCATTTTCCTTCAGAGGGTCATAGGAGGTATGTGAGATGGCCGCTCTCTGTTAATATTTTTTCAACTACTGTTGACAACGGGGGCGGTTTAAGAGTGTGTTAGGCATCTCGTAAGAATCAGGCCCGTGCCTGCATGAATCTCATGTCTTTATCCTCTCATTTGACACTGGCTAGGGGCTCCGTTTGCAGTAGGTTCTCTAGCTTTTGTGCTAAATCCGAGCGAGCAGGCTTCAAACTGAGCCGTCTCAAAGAAGCTGTGCGTTCATGTGAATTATTGTTGGCTTTTTTAAGATAAAGTGTTCTTCTGGAGGACCGTGGGATGGGGGAGGGACAGCTTGCTAGCTATTACCCACTGAACTTTTAAAGCAATGTGCTGAAAGTTAGTTTATGGGATTTTGTGACTGGATTCAGCTTCTCGGCCTGGTTAACTGGTGCAGAAAGTACTGTATGTATAAGGTGTGGGGTATATGGTAAGATGAATTTACGGTAGTAAATTCCCTTTGTAGTAATCCATGTATAGTAACTCACATGGAGTCAACTGAACCTTTCTGAGAGGCTGCTGTACCTGTTTTTCTGGGTCTGTGAGTTCAGATATAGGATGTTTAAGACGGCACACAAAGACTGTCTTAGGTTGATGCTTTTTTGCTGTTTAATGGCTTTCAGAGCAACTCCAACTCTGTACACTCAAGCACTGTAAATGCTGCTCTTGGCTTATTCAAGTGGTCCAGATGACCTAAGAGAAAGGCGTTTGTAAATTGGAGCTGGCTGCTTGAGCTTCTTCCCCGAAGGAGCTTATGCTACTGAATCTCTGCAGCCATTTTAATTTACCACGTCCTGCCACTAGAGGGCGGTGAGGTGCCAGTTTGTAAATTACGCAGTGGTTGGGAGTAGACCCGCTGCCGGGTTCTCCATTTGATCTGCGCAGATGCTGAATCGCTTTTTATCAGCAGTGTGACAAAATATCCTGTGAATGAGCCACAGGAAGAGCAAAGGAAAACTCAAGCTGCACCAATAAAGAAAACAACTTTTCCTCCAGCAGACAAGCAGAAAACCTTTTGTTCCATTGCATTTAGTGCACATGAGTGATTCAGTATTTACACTATTTCCCAAATCTGTTCCTGAACCCCGAGTGATTCTAATTGGAAAAGCAGATTAGAAACTGGAATTTCCACAACTTCTTCAGGCTCAGGCAAAACCCAAGTCTTTCTCTTTGTATATCTTTGTGAAGAAGATGAAATTCCAGCCATGCTGTTGGAGCAGTGTTCATACCAGCAGAGCTACATTGAGTAAAATCACAATCCAATCCAGTTTTTTACACGTGTGTTTGTTAGAGAACTGAAGAGCATTAGGTTATTTAGAGTTTTTTTTTAATACTGAAAGAAACCAAAAGCTTTAATTACAAATACTTCAATATCTGTCTTCATTATTGTACTAACGTTTCTTTTAAGTTTACAAATCTTTCACAATTAAAGAAGTCTGTCCTTCCATTTAGCTTGTTTTACAAATCAGTGTGGATAACCAATTTTAGACTAAAAAGTAGAAACACCATCCACTTTTTAGGGTGGAGGAAGGCAGCGATGAATTTTGTTATCCCAATTCCAGACTGTCCTTTCTTGACCAGTTTCAGATGCTTGAGCTGCCTGTGATTGTTTTTTTTGTTTTGTTTTCTTGTTCTTTGAAAAGAATTTGCCAAACAATGAACGAAACAGTATGTGCTTAATGTTGCCTTTGGGAATCAGAACCTTCATTTCTGTCCAAGGTGTGTGAAACCTGTGTCTGATTGTCACTTTAATGTGGGAAGACGTTCAGGGAATGTGGCTAGAAAGCTTCAATACCTCTTATTATGCAGTGTATTGAATGTACTATGTCAAGGGACATCTTCACCAGTATCTTCATTTAAGCAGTCAAATCTTAACAGGCATCATAAAAGTAAGTAGTAAAAGTCAAAAGTGTTCAGAAAGGGAACCCATACAGAAATGTATCTATTCTTTGCAATGAATTATTATGGACATCATAACTGTGGTTGTCACTTTATGCGGACTCCGCACTCATTTAATATGATGCGTCTTTTTCAGTATATTTGAGACTAATTTAGACATTTTTGCCAAACATCTCACAAAACGGAATTTCTCACCCTCGACGAAGGTGGTGGTGATGGTGGTTTAGGGTGGTTTCAGTGTCCTGTAGTGAAGTTTGGAATATATAAACACCTGCCACACAGGACCCTATTTTAAGTCTGTGTTACATTGAGTTTTCCTTTGTGTATGAAATGTATGACGCTCTGCACTGAGCTGTTCTGTGTGTATTGCCGGGAGATTTGTTGTCTGGAAAGGGCTCGCACAGGTTTCACAGCTGATTCCCAGCTTGACTGAGGGATGTGTGGTGTTGTGATTGTAAAGTGTTCAGACCATAATGTGATTCTTATTTTACTCCAAAACTCTTCCCCTCCACTTTTTCACCTGGAGCCGTGTTGTCATTGTCCCTTTTCCCCAGGCGTGTCTAGCTGTCCTCCTGCTCTCCTGTCTGTGCCCAGACAGCACTCCGTAGACTGAGCAGGACAGCCCTGGTGATTCTGATTGGCAGAGTGGAATGTGTAGAGAAGGGCTGGGGACAAGGGGTACATTCAAATACCTATGGTACTTCTGTTTCAAAAGCTTGATTCTTTACTGGGAGAGGGTACTGGTGCAGCTCTCAAACGCGATGTTTTCTCTTCCTAATCTGGCATTGCCGACTCTCTGACTTCCACCAGCCCCCTTCAAAATGATAGTCCGTCGGGAGAGGTAGTCACACTGGCTCTTGCTTCCTGTTCACTTGCATTTCTGGGCGTCACGACAGGACGGACCGGATGGGGGGGTCTCTGCGATCGCCCATGTGGGTTTGGGGGGTTTTTGTCAGCTCCCCTGCCCTGTTGCCCGTGTGTCTTGCCCGGTAGGCACTCGGATGTCCAGCGGACTGAGGAGTTACAAAGCCCAGGCGGTTCTGGCCAGCACAAGTCCCCTGACGCAAAGGCGCGTTCCTCTTACACGTTAGCACGCCAGCAAGAGAGCATCGGAGCCGGTCTGTGCTGAAGTCTTGTGGACATTAATCTGATCTGATTGCTCCAACCAGCTGCCTTACTCTTCTCCAGTCTTCCTGGTCCGCTGTGCTGTTCCCCATCCCAGTCTCCTTTGTACGGTTCCAAATGAAACTGCTATTTAAAACCCTGTTTACTGTATTGTTGTATATAGTTTAACAATTCTTATTTTTCTTTTGATCCTTGTTGTATACAGTCTATAAATATATATCTAAAATATATATACTGTATATGAGCTTCCTTTTGTAAAGAAAACTGAATCAAAACAAACAAAAATAAACTATTGCACTTAGTTTGGGAATCGCCGTTGTTTCCAAATAACGGTTGTAATGGTGTCTGGGGGAAAAGAAAATAAAATTATGATTAAGGGGTAAAACGAGGTCCGTGTGTTTTGTGTTTTACGCTTCATCTCGATCTCAAAGATGTGGTAATCCTTTTGCTTTCTTGTAGGAAAAGGTTTCTTTTCCTTTTTTTCTCTCATCAGGCACAGCTCCCAGCGAAGGGTGTCACAGAGTCCTGTCACAATTAAATCTGTAACCAAATGTAAAGGAATTGCTGGTGTTTACTGTGAAGCTATGCTTCTTGAGAAGCATCTGCATCAGGCCCTGCTTGAGGCACTACATCTCATGGCTAGTCATTTTAATGTTGCAGGACACTATAACTAAAATTTGAACAGAATTCTAAAATTTATTAGGGCACGTTTGTTTCCATTTTGGTGATTTAACACATTTAGGAATCAAAGACCATATTGATTACTTCAATGCACCACATTTGTAATTCAATTGGGCATTTAGAAAGGTCACAGTAAATGGTACTGAACCATCCAGAAAATAAATATATTTAAATATGATCTATAAGTATTTGATATATGCAAGGTCTTTCCCTGCAATTACTCATGTTTCCAGAAACATAGTAAACAACAAATGTTTCTCCCCCTTTTTTTACTTTAGGAGTAAAAAGTGATTAGTGTATAGGAGGCACTGGAGGTGATTGGCTGGGGTTCTCTCAACCAGTAGCCAGTTTAGGCCTGCTCATTCATGCATGCATGGACAGCAGTCTGCATTATGTTTAACATGTGAAAACTTCATTAATATTCCTTAAGTACAAAGCTAAGGAATATCAAAGATAAAACATGACATTACCCCTACCATGCTTCAGAATGTGCTAAGATGTACAATTATAAACAACTTCAGTCTTATATCTTAAGCTCCACTTTACCTTGGAAAACCTGATTAGTGGATTGGGTTGAAACCTTTACTGTCAGACACTTAATCATGTTTTGCAAATTCCCTTTTATTATTTATCTTTCATGACCTTTACTTCATTCCTTACATATATCTTTGAGCCAGGGGGGTTCTGGAGCAATGTTTTATGGACATGTGAGAATATGGATCAATCTTAAGCCAAGTGTTGGAGAGGTTCAAGTGTGAAGAAAGGAAGGAGCTGAAGATGTTCCAGAGAATATCCTCTCATCTGTGAAGCCTGGATCTGCATGGCTCCCTGTTGAACTGACTCTTGTATGTATAGATGATTTAACTGAATATTATATCCTTTCTTGCTTCTGCATATTATGCAGAAGTAGAATGGATTCTGAAATTGACAGCAATATTTTGTCTGCTTATATAGAAGAAAATGGTTTTAACTTAATTGGGCTGTGCTTTACAATGACCTAAAACGGAGACATGCAACCAAGGAGTTTGTCGGGAGAAAAGGAAAATGGAAACTCCTAGACTGGTCAAGTCACTCTTTTGATTTAAATCAAATGGAACATGCGTTTTACATGTTTACACCACAAGAAAAGACTTCAAGACAAGAACAAGTCGTCAAAGGGGCTACGGTAATTTCAAATGATTTTACAAAGTTTGGGGAGTCCAGCAAGTCATAGGTTTCATGCAGTTTTTGCCTCAGTGGAATGTACAGCCAAGTGTTTTGCACTCTGAAATTTACTTAAGTGAATATGTCACAAGACTTATGGTCAAATGAAATCTCGGGGTTGAACACGATGTTATGTTTTTGTACTAATGTGACGAAAGACGTTATCTTAGTAGGTAGCTGTGTCAGCATGTGTAGTCTGCAAAGAAACAGGTGAAGGTTTATTCCATACTGCAAGGAAAAGAAAAACGTTTCAGCTGTGGAGTCTTCTTCAGCTCTGAAGAACACTTGAAGAAGGCTCCACAGCCGAAACATTTTTTCTTTCCCTCTCAGCACCGGATGAACCTTTTCTTGTTCCTAACATGATGAACATGATACTAATATGCTATTTTAGTGAAAATCAGGTGGGTTGTCAAGGAGATCATGATGGACATTATACTGTAGTAATCCCAAACCAGCATCAGGTCCAGCGATCAAATGGTTGTTAACATAGAATAATGTTCTTATTGGTAAAATTCACACCATTTTTTACAACTGAATATTCAACTGTATTGTAATGTTATAACAACTTTTAGGTTCAATCAAGGGTAATTTAATCAATGTGTTTTACAGAATATGCATGCCCTTTTTTTCATTTCATATGCATGTAGACATACGTTAAGTCGACTATCACCTATAAGAACGCTGTAATAAAAATGGCAATAGCGACTGTAAATAACCAAACCTTTGGTGACTGATGACCGCTTGCTGATCTCCTTTAAAAAAATAGGGCCGCTGTATGAAAAAAAATGAACGCATCTGATTGGCTGGCCGAGATTCCTCCTAAACCTGAATGGCCAGTCAGAGACTCGCCCCGGCCACTCCCCGAAAATTCCATTCTGAAGAAAACGGTGGAGTTAATTCTTCATTAACTTTACAGTTATTTAAAAGAAGACGAATGTTTCAACCTCCTTAAGGAATTTAATTTTAAAGCTAACTTAATAATAATAAATCTATTTTGATATAATTATACAAATTCGAATTGTTTACAAAAGTCAAAGAATAGCATGGTCTCCCCCATTCTGCGTTAATAGTGCAGCCCGATATGTCTGCTGTCATTTCGTGTTACTTTTCTTCAAGGAGCAATTGAATAGCTTTTCTTATCTTTGCAGATTGCCGGTGTAGCATCGCTGGGCATTTTAAATTGTATATTCTGTTTGCTTTCTGGACTTTTATTTATTTTTTTAATCTATAAAAAAAACATGCTGCGTACGAGAGCGGTCCTCTGCCAGTCATTCCGGCGGTATGTAATTTCACCTGAGTTCGGGCGTCTTTCTCCTTGGTGTGCCTTTCACATTCGTGCCAGAGTAACTAGAGAGTTTATAGATGTAGCCGGGATCTTGTATGTAATGTGCTTGCTGACATGTTGCACTTGAATGTCGAAGAACTGGATAGGTCCAAATGGTTCATAAGTGTCTGTGCATGTCATTTAAATAGCAGTTTAGCTCCTGCGGTGGTATGAATATTATGAAACTGAATTAGGCGATAATAATGAGTTAAAATAAAAGTGAAAAGCAGACTAAAGCCTCTGTTAAGCAGCCGAACCAGCAGGTATGCTTGCAATATCGAGCCCCTGTGTACTCTCCACGTTGAAAACACTCTGTACGACTCAAGGAAGTTCAGATTAACTGCCCCCTTTTTCCAAGTTCCGTGGAAGTATCTCGAACAACGTCTCCTGCATTGAAATGCGTAAGCCCCCACCACAACGCGAATCTGATAAAGGGCATTAAAGCAACGAGGTTTTTTTTTTAGTTTAACGTTCAGTCCTTAATCCCCCCCCCACTTCAGAATTTGCACATGTATCTCCAGCAGCTCGTCCCCACAGAGGAAAGACAGACTGATGTCAGCAAGTCCAGCGCACTAGATGCAGCGTGGTTTGACAGTCCTCGCAGCCGAAGTCCACCTTACAGGACAGCCTGGACTGCTGGCCGGCAGAAAGCAGAAAGATGTGGAATTTTTTGGTGTCGTGTTAGTTGTTACAGTTGTACCTCTTTAAAATAGGCTCGGGATTTGCAACCGTGTTTCTGTACCGCTGCCATGATTCAAAACGTAACGCAATATGAGTTAAGAAAAGTAATTGGTGTAAAACGAAGAATCGTCTAAAAAATATAATTATAATAAGATTAATGTGAATGTGTGTGCCAACTTGAACAAACATGCAGTGTTGCATTTGTTACATGTGGTAGTAAGTGTCCTGATCTTAATTGATAAATTGCAAATATCGGCTACTTAGAGATAAAGTGGGTATTTTCACAAAATATGATCCGTTCTGTTGGTTGTCCTCCAATTGTCCCTTCGTGTTATGAACGGGAAATTATCCTAATTGAAATATGGGGTGAATGTACGTTGAGGTGTTAAGCCTAGAAATTCTAGTATATCGTTTCCCGAAAAGCGCTCATTCACCTGTCACCGCGAAGCGAAGAAAAACTCACTTATTAGGCCAATTGTTTTACGACGTCAGGCTGCCTAAAGTGATAGCCCAAGATAAGATAGTGCTGGAGTGTGGGACAGAGCTGGCCCTGTGCCCAGTTCATTCCCAGCAGGCTAGGAAGCGGACTGGAGGGCTGTAACAGTTGCAGGTGTGTCTGCAGGTGCAGAAATGAGTTGGCTCTGTGTTGGGCAGTTTCCGTGCCTTGTGCCTTATACTGTACTAATTAGTCATTACTGTAAGAAGGGAGGGATGGCTAGAGACAGAGCAGGGCTTTTGAGAAGAGAAATTCCAGTGTGGAATGGCTTGGATATCATTAATCTATCCATTTTCTTAAGTGCTTTATCCAATACAGGGGGAGCTGGATCCTATCCCAGCATGCAAAGGGCACAGGGCAGGATATACCCTAGATGGGACGCTAGTCCTTTGCAGGGCACACTCAGACACAGATATAGACACGCACACACTCACACCAGTTAACCTACCAGCATGTCTTCGGACTGTGGAAGGACACACACAAACACAGGGAGAACATGTGGCTACAACGATGTCAGTTTCTTGAAAGTCCTGCCCAGTCCATTCAAGATTAACTTGGCATTTTCAAAAACAGCAGTATAGTCCGGTGCAATGATTTAATCAATTCTGGTGAAAGTTTCCATTCTGGTAGTTAAAGTCCTTTTATTGATTGTTGCATGTCAGGAAACTTTATTATGCAACTATTCTAAAATAATAAAGCAGTGCATTTTTAAATCCAAGTGCCCTTAGAACTTTCCTCTGTCCATTGGAAGTCTGTAGCAGGATCATAGGGCTTGAGAGCACACAGGGACACAGTTTTAATATCTGATGTTTTAAAGGGGCTGGCAGAGATTAAACAAAAACCCAGTGTGACGCAGATTGGTAGTTTCTGCTTTGATCAGGTACTGTCCTGTTCCTCTCTCTCCTGCTCCTCTGCAGGCTGTGTCCTGTATGGCTCCACTGATTCTTGCTGACTTGTGAGTTACTGTGCCAAAGAGCAGCTGGTCATGTTTAGATGGTAAACAGGTGTTGGACTGAACCTGCTTCATAATGCCAGATCAATCAATACACAGATGGAATCTCCCCCTCCAAGTCCCCAGCCCCCGATTAATCTCAAAAAGATTAACTCTTATATTTCAACAGCAAATCACTACGGGTCCATTGCATTTTTGTAAATTTAGTCCTAAGCCTTAGGATTGCTCTGTGAACCTGTGTATTGTTCCTACAATAACTAACCAAACTTTAGTTATTAATAGGACAATACTGAACATTTTCCTAAATAATATATGGCAGTACGTTGCTTGTATTCTGTGTTTCTTTCCAAAAACAATCTGTTGTATATGTTGAATTCCCTGTACACATCAATTTTACAGAATTAAAACATGGCAGTTATAAAGACAGTAATGCATTTTCCCATGTTGTTGACTTAAGTCTCTGCAGAAGTTTTTGTCGGAGCTGTCTGTGTTACATTGCATTTGTTTAACTCTAATCATCCCAACAGTTTCAACACTGCAAACAGGCCAAGGAACTTGCTGGAAACTATGCCTGGAAGTAATCCCACACAAACTGATTGTGGCCACATTCCCTCTCTGGGAAAGATGTAGACTGAGATATGCACGGCACAAAAGGGCTGATGATCCGTGTGCCAGAGGGCTCCTTTCCATGCTTTGTCTTCCTTGCAGGTTCCGAACATTCTCATGCGCCGCTGTGGAGGTGAAGAATGAGCCCATTCTGCAGTTCCTGGAGGGCAGCTCAGAGAGGGCGGCACTGCAGAAGGTAATCGCATACTGAAACACTTTCTCAGTACCTGGACACACATTAGAGTCATTCTGCAGACTTCCACTACCTAGTCTCAACTGCCCTTGTAGCATATAGCAAGTGCTGGTTTTTAATTGTAAATATAAGAATACACAAAGCCAGTAATTTGATTAGATATTGGTACAACATCCAGCTCCTTCACTGCTTCTTTCCATTTTCTTTTATGAGTTGGGAGCTACAATCTCAACATGTAGTTCAACAAAACATTCTTATAATTGTCAACCAGGCCCTGAATGAGCTGAAGGGGAAAACAGAGGAGATCCCCTGTGTGGTGGGGGATGAGCAGATCTGGACCAAAGACATCAGATACCAGCTGTCGGTGAGTGATTCCACCCATCTCCAGCGGCGGTGGCAGATACTGTGGCCTCATCGCTAAGCAAATGAGAAACCAGAGAGCAAATGTCGCATGTTCACGATAAAAAAGATTGAGGTCTTCCTTTCAGGTAATGCTAAAAAAAAAAACATGTTGCACTAAGCATGCCAGTGTTGAAGATCACATCACACTGTTTCAAGAGCACATTATTTCAAACGATTCCACTCAACCCAGCTAGTACCCAGAATATTCAACACTATTACATTCAACGACATTTAAATCTCATCAGAAATGGCTAGCTTTCCCGACTGCGCTTGTACAGTGATAGAACATGGTGTTTGTTTCAATTCTGCAACATACTGTATATCCAATGGATTGCTAATATGTTGTTTTGGATTGCTGTTTTCCAGCCCTTTAATCACTCTCACAAAGTGGCCAAATTTTGCTACGCTGATAAGGTGAGTAATCCTTCATCCGTTGTTAAAACCCATGACTTCAGTTCTGTTCTGTAGTTTATTTTCCTTTACGAAGGGTGTGGGGAAATAAGGAGCTGATTCAGAATTAGAAATAGCTGCACCACTAAAATCTAATACTGACATCTAGAATTCAGTCTTGCTAAAGCTGTCTTTTTATATGTAGACAGGCAAGGGACTTCTTTTGCTCATTAGTCATGAAATACAGTTCAGTTTTTTGTAGTATGATCCAGACCAGAGTTTTAACGTGTTTTGTGTTATTCTTGGGTCATGTTCAGAAAGAGAGAGCTTACAGAGATCTCTGCAGTTATTTTCCATGTCTGGTTCCTCAGTAGCAGCCTGTTTTCTGGGTGTGCGATCCACACTGTGTGATTGTGTTTTGCCAGGACGTACTGAACAAAGCCATCATAGCCTCTGTGTCAGCCCGCAGAGAGTGGGACTTAAAGCCCGTCCAGGACAGAGCCCAGATCCTCTTCAAGGCTGCGGACTTGATCAGTGGCCCCCACAGGGCCGAGCTGCTCGCCAAGACCATGATAGGCCAGGTACAGAGAGGAATCCCACAGTCACGTGATGCTTTTCCAGTGCAAATAACACTGTTTGTGGTGTCCTGGCTCAGTAAGTAGCATGGTACATTTTTAAAGGAAGAGCCCACAGTCTTCGTCAGGCTGATTTTCAGTCTTCTGCTTCGCTACCTAAATGAGTTTTAATTTCAACAATGACGTTAAAAAAAATCCAGCAAACAGTTTAAATCTGGAGTCTGAAACAAAAGAAACAGACAGCAATGACACATCTGCCTGCGGTGCTATTAATGTGCCGGGGAGAAAGAGTTTGGTGTTCAGTTCAGAAATCAATTTGTGTGTTTTTCAGCTTGAAAGTAAAAGGTGATTTTGCTTCCTAGTTCAAACTGACATTCTTTTTTAGGGCAAGACGGTAGTGCAGGCTGAGATTGATGCCGCTGCCGAGCTGATTGACTTTTTCCGCTTCAACGCCAAACACGCCATTGAGCTGGAGCATCAGCAGCCTCTGAGTGGAGATGGCAGCACAAACACCATGCTGTACCGTGGGCTGGAGGTGAGCGCCACCTACAGGGCCTACGAGGAGTCACCGCTCAAGATATTTTGCGACATTGGCCAGGATTAAATCCTAGATTTGAACCACCCAACACTTGGAGACTACAGTTCCAAAGAGTGATTGAGAGTTTATGTAAGATAGAATGAAGAAAGTCATGTCAGTAAGTGCTAGGCTTGTAAACTTGACATCTTGATTAAAAAATGACAATGACAGTCTACTGGTGGATACTTATGCTCCTTCAGATTCAAGGTAAAAATCAGTCTTTGCCAAATTTGAAATATCTTGATGGAACAATCATTAAAAGAGAACTAGAAAAGTTTCATTTTCTGTCCTAAAAGGTGAAAACAATATGGCTTTTGTGATTCTGAACTTCTCCCTTTGAAATCGGATCAAACCAAATGTGAGTCAAATATTTAAACCCCGTGAAGAAAACTTGTTCCCCCTGAATTTCTGTAGTTCACATTCTCAAGTCTGTGAAACTAGATTCATTCCATTGGCTGATGTACATCTTTTTTTGATCTTAGGGCTTTGTTGCAGCTATTTCGCCCTTCAACTTCACTGCTATTGGAGGAAACCTGGCAGGGACACCAGCCCTGATGGTGAGTCTGGCACAGCTGCTGCACAAGGCGAAGAAGAATTTAGTACACGCATTTAAAACTGACACCAACAAGACACACTGCAAAATCAAGGTGTTGTTCAAGTACTGAGCACCTGTCTTTGCCTGTTCTTGGCACAGTTAGAGAGTTTTCTATCAGATACTACACAACACAACAATAACCCGAGAAACATCCTGTTTGTTGCATGTTATGGGTATATGTGTCTGTGAGTTGGAGCTCACTTCTACATGTTGGGCTACACTGATTTATTTTGCATTGAAGTGTTCTTATACGTCTTTACTTATAAGAGGTGAAATAATTCTGTAAATAATACTCATATGCGTTTTATCATATCTGTTGTTACTGTATGTCTGTGCTTGCAGTATGATCTTATGAAAAGGGATTTATAAGAGATTTCGAAATTTTGCTTACTCAGACACTGGGTGGGCCTACTTTATTTTGATAAAAACGCCCTGACAGCGAGAAATTTGCAAAGTGAGCACAAGGCTGTGTGGAGCTGACAGGCCCTGTGTCGTTGCCAGGGTAACGTCGTGCTGTGGAAGCCCAGCGACACGGCCATGTCCGCCAGCTACGCTGTCTACAAGATCCTGCGGGAGGCGGGACTTCCTCCTAACGTCATCCAGTTCGTGCCAGCGGACGGCCCCGTGTTCGGGGACACCATCACAGCCTCCGAGCACTTGGCCGGCATCAACTTCACAGGCAGTGTCCCGTGAGTGCAAATCTTTTTAGCAGCCTCCTCTCTTCACCTGACTTTTTCAAACAAAACCTTCGACCCGAACAAAGTGGATTTTCCAGGCTTTTCCACAACACTGCGGCATCCATGATACAAACATGCCCTTGACTGTGTCATCTATGTCAGGCTCTGCGTATTTGTGTCTGCTCTATTAGCACCAGTTGGATCATGTCTATTGTTACTGTACGTCTATGTTTCCAGTACGAGCTTAAGAAAGGAGGTTTACCAGAGATTTAGACATTTTTAGTTCATCAAACACTGAGTGGGGCTATTTATTTTGATTAAACAATTCCCTGACTGTGAGAAGTTTAAGAAGTGAGCACTGAGGCTGTGTGAAGCAGTGATTTGGAGTTGGCACAGGTTGGAGGAACAGTGTATCTCCTACTCATGCCAACGCTAACGTGCAGGTGCTTGGTAAAAATGCAGGAGTTGCTTTTTTGACCAAAAAATGAGGGCCCAGTTGCAGACTAACATCCTGTGGCTCTCTACTAATTACAGTGATGGTCTTTCAGGAATCCTGGACACGTTTAACTAGTGACATGACCCTCACAAAATATGGGAAATGTTGAATAATGAGAGTAATCGCTTTAACATTCATTTTCCTCAGGACTTTCAAACAACTCTGGAAGCAGGTGGCGGAGAACCTGGATCGCTACCGGAATTTCCCTCGAGTGGCAGGAGGTGAGCCCTTACTGTGTCCGTCCGAGACCTGCCTAGACCACAAAATTCCAACCGGTGGCCGTAGAAGCCGGCCACACGATCAGATCGAGCCTGGTGCAAGATCGCTCCGGCCCACGTGCCCCCTCAGCCTTGTGTTTCCTGTCCCCAGAGTGCGGGGGGAAGAACTTCCACTTCGTGCACCAGTCGGCCGACGTCGGGAGCGTGGTGATGGGGACGATCCGCTCCGCCTTCGAGTACGGGGGGCAGAAGTGCTCCGCCTGCTCCCGGATGTACGTGCCCGGCGCACTGTGGCCGCGGATCAGGCAGGAGCTGCTGGCCGTGCACAGGCAGATCCGGCTGGGCAACGTGAGTCTGCCCTAGACAGCCCTTCCGAAGCCGAGGAACCCTGTCTTTATCGTGAAAGAAGGGCAAGCCTTGTCTTTCTCACCCTGTTTCTGGGTTGCAAAGGAGCAGGTAAAGGTTTATTCCGTGCTGAAAGGAAAAGGAGAGATGTGTCTCTTTTCCTTTCAGCATGGAATGAACTATACCTGTTTCCTTGCAGCATACACATGCAACTCCCAACACATCATTTTTGGGATGAGAGTTTTGCCTGCTTTTTATTATACAGTTTAGTCAATTTTGATATGTATCATTAGGAACTTTTTGTTCCGTGTTTGAACGTGATCCTACCGTATTGTCATTTTTTGTAATGACCTGTGTGTTAGCGTGCAGTTCCCTCAACACTGGGATTGGATTCTGATGCAGCAGATGCATGCAGAATTTGAAATCACAGTTCTTCAGATCTACATCGGTTTTGTTTTAATTAAGCCAGCCCATCTGAGAAAAAACTCCAGGGTAAAATCTACAGTTTGTATTAATATACTGTCCTTTTTGTGTTCTGCTTTTCCAGCCTGTTGAGGACTTCAGCACATTCTTCTCTGCTGTAATTGACAACAAGGTACTTATTTGTTATTCAGGCCTTTTAACCAGATAACAGTTGAAAACACGTTCTGATTTGCAGTCCTTTTTTGTTTCCACTCAATGGTTCACTGAGTAATGAGCATCTGTATTGAAAGCGCAAATATTTTCCTCAGTATTTAAGAAGTTTCATCTACACTTTAATCGATATTTATACATACAAATTCACTGCGATGCAGAAGGGGTTAGGTCAGAGCATGGCTGGTTTGAGGAAAATAAATTTGCACTCTTTGTGTTTTACATGTAAGGGTTTCAAGCCTGAGCTTATATAAACAGACAAAACACATGCAAGCAGTAGTTTTGTTTTAGGAATGCAAAATGTACTGTTCAAACAAGAGCATATATTCAGTCTGATTTTTCTTTTGTGTTGTCTGCATGTTGTCTCCATGCGTCTCTCCCCAGTCTTTCAGTCGCATTAAGAAGTGGCTGGACTATGCCAAGTCTTCTCCCAACCTGACCATTCTTGCCGGGGGTCAGTGCGACGACAGGCAGGGGTACTTTGTGGAGCCCACCATCATTGAGACCAAGGATCCCCAGGACATCATCATGAAAGAGGTAGGAGGGCACCGGGATCATCCCAAGGGAAAACCAGGCCCACGTACTCTTGTGAAGAACACGTGCAGCCCGATGCCTTCTGCTCTCGCTGCCTGCTGGACTACACCTTGGGAAACCCCTGTTTCACTGTGATCATATGCTATTGGCCCCAGTACTCACTTTCTGGGTTTTAAATGCTTCTCTTTATAACACTGAAACTCAAGGTGTGCCAGCAGATATGTATTTCATAACTGCTGTGGGGTTGCACAATTACCACCAAAACAAAGAGAGGAACAGGTACCTTTCTCCACGATAAAGAGCGAATTTCATTTCAGCTACTGTACGCCATTGCTCTTCTGTAGTGTAAGCTTTGTTGTGTTTTTTTGTTTTGCAGTGTGATTTGTTTTTGCATTATATTTGCCTCCTTCATGTCAGATCTACTCTTGGGGGAGATAGAATAACCTTGTGTGCTCTGCCTTCCTGTCCAAACAAAGATGAAACGTGTAAATGAGTCAATCCTGTTTCCTAGCTTGGTATCCCAGAGCCGCCAGCTACAAAGTGCAGGATTAAGCAGGCAAATCTGGAGGACAGCGGAGCCTGTTGAAGAGAGTGACCACGGTCCACCACAATTGGGCTTGTTTCTTTAATTGAAGGCACCCTGAGGCTCAGATTACATGTGTCAGTTTGCATTTGAACAGCCACTGGAAATATGCCCCACCCTCACTCCAAGCCTTAGAAGCAGTCCTCTGACCAAGGCACTGATTTGAATTTTTACACGAATTACCCCTGCATTTGTTAAAAAAAAATGCCCTTCCACCCACACACCCCCTCAGGCTGTGGCTTGTAAACTAGGCCGGTTTTATACTGTGGATCACCTTTAAAATCATCAAAGTCTAAACAGAAATGGGAGATTCATCACGTCATTTGGCGATCATGGAAATTGGGACCAATTTGCAAATTAAATACCCATAGAAATAAACAACCATTAGAAATCCTAATTAGAAACATTCACCCCTCTGTGAGTCCATTGAGAAGGCTTTCATTTTACAGCGAATACAAAAAATCCAAATTATTCTTGTTGAATGTAGACGCTGCTCAACCTCCAGTCATACTGAAAAATCATTACAGCTGAGGACTCACACTAACACACACTAAACTGTACGTGTCATCACTGGAGAGTAGGGATAGGTTATATCACCATGCATTCCAGATTAAGACTGTAATGGAATAAATACTTGCAAACAAAGCAGAGGAACTTGCAAAATTGAGTCTTCAGGTTTCAGGGTTGTAGGTTTTCTAGGCTGAATTAATCTGTGACATTTTTTGTCCTGCAGGAAATCTTTGGCCCAGTCCTGACTGTATATGTGTACGCTGAGGAGGACTACAGAAATGTATTGCAGCTGGTTGATAGCACTTCACCATACAGCCTCACAGGGGCAGTGTTTGCCCTTGACAAGTAAGCATGCCAGAGCCCCAGTTTTGCTTGATCTTTCCTTTGCCTTTGAGTTGCATTAAAGGAGTACGAGATTGGCATGAAAAGCAGACTTGTTGCAATTGAGTCTATGGTCCCAGCTTACAAATTGTAATTTTTACATGTAGTGAATTAGCAATAACAGTAATAATATTGGCACCATCCCATAAGGCATCATCCCATAATAGTTAAACCGTTTCTGTCCTTCATTTAGCATGCTTTAACTGACTCCCAGTCTGGTGGGTTTCTCATGTGCTGCTGGCATAAGCCTTCATGAGAACAAGTAAAGGTTTATTCCATGCTGAAAAGAGAAGAAAGAAAACGCAACGTTTCGGCTGTGGAGCCTTCTTCGGGTGTGTTTTCTTTCTTCTCTTTACAGCATGGAATAAACCCATTACTTGTCCCTTTGCAGCCTAAGCATGCTGACGCAGCTCCCCTACCTGAACAGCCTTCATGAGACTGCTTTTCACACTTGACTAAACTACAACTCGCTAACAGCTCAGATTTTGTCAGTCTCCGAAGTCACAAACTCATTTAATTCACTTAAATTTTTTTAAAAAAATAATGTCGATGGGTTTTGTGAAATGAATCATATCCACAGACGCTTTGAGTACATGAGAACATGTTTTGGGTGCAAAACACAGCACTGATGTTTTACGAATAAAATCTTGGGTCCTGGCTGGGTAAGAGGCTTGGTCCATTAGTGGGCTGTCAAGCTGGAAGTTAGAGAAAACAATTTGCCACCTCAAAAGAGCTCATCAGTGAAAGGCCCCCTGTGCAGACTGCTGATGTCCTGGGCTCTCTGTTTTAGGAGCGTGTTAGCCGAGGCTGGAAAGGTCTTGAGAAATGCAGCTGGCAACTTCTACATCAACGACAAATCCACTGGCTCCGTTGTGGCCCAGCAGCCGTTTGGGGGCTCCAGAGCTTCGGGTGAGTGTCTGATGTGTGTGGTCTGTTGACAGTGCTAGCAGGAGGAAACCACTGCCAGTGCTCGAACACAGTTAGAAGAGGGCAGGCCAAACCCTACGTGGTTCTTGGACTCACTCATGTGATAAAGTGTATCATAGACTGTGCATGAAATTATAGCTGGAGAAGATAGTGGTGCAGTGGCTATCACTAGCATTGCTGCCTCACGGTGTGAGGAGGCTGAGGGTTAAATCTGAATTTATTCAGGTGCCTGTTCGCATTAGTAAAGCATCATAAAGCTGCAGTTATATATCTTGTTCCTTATTGGCTGATCTGTATGTCTAGGCACCAATGACAAGCCAGGAGGCCCACACTACGTTCTGCGATGGACTTCGCCCCAGGTTGTCAAGGAGACCCATGTTCCACTAACAGAATGGAAGTACCCCTATATGGGGTGAAGCTGACACAACCCCCCCAGCCACCGCCTCCCACTCCCACCCCTCCCTTCTCTATCGAAGAGAACGTGAGCCTACCCAACCCCTCCCAGAAATAAAACAGGACCCGCAGATTTGACTGATTTGATCATGAGTGAATAAGAAGCTGAGAGTGTATTATAAAATGATTTGAGCTCTTTCTGGTTTAAATGGAAGACTGGAGTATTGTGCTTTGCAGTACGTTGACCCGTCTCAGTGGGATAGCACTGAAATTAGAAGTAGCTGTACTTCTCAAGGGGTGTGGAAGCTATAGTGACCGAACACTCATGTCCCTGAAAGTACACCAATGTACAGACCTCTCAACACTGCTAAAAATTACCACAATTTCAAATTTCTTCTTAATTATTTGTCTATAGCAAGACCTATAAGAAATGTATGCTTAGAGGTGTGACATGTATATTAGGATTTTATTTTTTTAATTATCTTAAAAGTAAGGGGAGGAAAAAATTAGCAGAGCTTCTGAATCAGTCTGTATTGACCATCATTCCTCATACTGTATAGGTTTTGAATCATGGTTACCATATGCATACTCCATGTATTATCGACATTATTGAGTGAAATGAAAGGGGGAACTCTAGTGAAAACCTGTCTAACTGCTGTATGGTTGTGTGGAAGACACAGTGATCAGAGTCGGTGCACTGAAAGTCATTTTGTAGTCTTTTTATCCCAGCTGGATGGTGTGGTTTATACTGTGAGCTTGCTAAAGTCCGGGTTTGAAAAGCATTACTCAACCTCTCTGAAAGTGTAAGTGATGAGGGCTGCAGTTGTAATGAAGGAGACTGTCTTGAAGGGCTGTAGCTTTGCCTTTCCCTGGTTGGGAGCTACATCCCTTCATGTTACAACTGTGTAATTTTAAATCATGATTAAATCCTAACCATCTTCCACTGCTGTAATTCACTCTGGCAAGCATGCAGACCTTGAAAACATGCAAACCAAATAGTGATCTAATGTTTTTGATCTGGAAACATTCTGTAACTTTATAGATCTGTTCATACTGTCTTGCATTGTCTACAGTGAAAATAATAGATACTGACAAATACAGTATTTTGAATAATTATGTAATTAATTTCTTTTGTGAGAAAGTTACATTTGATCTGTTTCTCAAGTGAATTTGTCACTATATAATGTTGAGTATAATATTATCAAAACATGACAGGCAGATATCGAGGTTTAGTAACACTAATGAAATGTTAGAAATATTTCAGTGGAAAATTCCAGTTTAACCATTAGTCCATTTTTCTCTTATAATGCATCACTTGAGCTAAATCATTGCTAAGGAATATTTTTTCAAACGCAATCTCAGATCAATGTTATTGATAAATCAACTGATTTAACATGAGCTGTTGAAGCACTGGGTTTGTAACAGCTGATGTCCAATATCCTGGTTGTCCAAAACCATTCAGGAATCTATGGGTACTATATATATACAGTATATAGTCTTCTCAAATGTCTAAACTTCTAGTTTGAAATGTGCAGTTTTTCATAAGAGATCTACTAATTATGGTGTGGTTAAAATTATTCTAAAATTATACCTTTTTTATTATTCGAAATACTGCAAAACAAAAGCCAGCTTTTGCGCCCATTTTAAAATAAATGAGAAAATCTTTAAAAAGGTAGATCTCCTTGATAACAAATGGTGGTTCCATATTCTGACATATTTTACATTATCGTGGCCTTGTAATCACTGCCTAAAACAAGGGCTTGCCATTTTTAATAACTGATTTTCATACAGTAATAACATTTTGAAGCCGATTTTATTCAGGATGTGCTTGTGAAGGTCTAGAATTTAGAATGTGTCAGCACCGGTATTGGCTATTTGTCATATTGAGTACTATGTGCTGTTAGTAAAAGGTAAAAAATCAATTCAGTGGCTTGTGTTTTTAATTGTTTAGAGGGGATTGCAATGAGGCCGAGTACTAATTCACGGTGTCATGATTCGTTATCCGATATGTGTCGGGGCCTAGGCTCTGTTTCTGAACTTGTACATGAGTCCTAGGAAAGGTAATTCATTAGCAATCTCTGAAAAGTGGCTCTTTCAAATAGAAACTGCCAAAACCAGGTCCTGAGTGCAGCAACTCATCCATTATTGGCACTAACAGATCCTTTTAAAAAGAAGGTAAGGGACCACAGTTAGAAATTCCCTCCTTCTTGTTTGACCAAGAGTATTGTACTCTTTCTCCTTCTGGTATCCCAGTGCTTGAAATTTACTCTAACTTAATAACTGTGTCCTTTTTCTTTCTCAGCAATCTAATTGCTAAACTGTGGGAGGTAGAGAAGGATCTTTGGGGTTATTATCTGCATGCAGAAAGATTATCCGCTGGGCTCTCAGGGCTGTGCTGTTTCCTGGAGCTGCCATGCAATTCAGGGATCATGTCCTGCAGTTTTCTTCGCTGAGCTAAAGGCAACAGTACCAACGGCGCAGCTTCCACCTCTGTCGCCAAGTGCTCTTCTTTAACCCTCTGAGTTATCGAAATGAAGTCGTGACCGCTGCTCTGTGTTCTGTGTCATCACAGCATGCACTGGGCCAGCTATGGTATAACTCTGGGCTGCAAAGCTTCCATGGCGACATTTTTTCCCTCAATAAAGTTTCTGCAGCGAGAGGGAGATCGAAGTCCATCCAGCGATCTGTGAGCCTGCTGCAGCAGCTCTTTCTCTTTTTCTGTTCTGTGATAGATCAAGCTCTTCTCTCCACCCTGCACAAGCCACAAAGATGAATTGATTCACGCTGCTGCAAAATGCAAATAAAGTCGGACAGCTTTTCATCTGACGCTGATTCCCAGTGTCGTCCGTTTGCCTGGTGGGATTACTCTGCCACACCTCTCCTCGGTGCTAAACATTTGAAAGCATGCAAATTTAATAAGTGCAAAAACAAACAGATCCGCTAAAGTGCTGCTCGGGCAGATAAAAAGTCACCCAGTCCGGCTGAGTTCAGTAAACGCAATCCAGGCATCCCGAGCTCGGGACTGGGATGGCCGTCTGTGGCAGAGTCGTGCCTTTGCAAGCCTTCGGGTTGGTGACATGGGCGGCTGTCCTGCAGTGCTGGGACCTTGCTGCTGCAGGACAGTTTGGTCCGCTCTCTCAGTTCCAGCTGGGTGGAGATTATGTGATTGCTGGGCTGTTTCCTATACACAACACTGGAATGTCTGATAAATCTGTGCCAGAGCTGGACGACTGCCAAAAGTAAGACTACTTTCCTTGTAGCGTTAATAACGGACTTGAGGTGGATCCACCATCTCTCCTACCTGCCTATTTTAAATTTCAAATGTATTTAAGTCACCCTGGATAAGGGCATCTGCTTGGCAGATATTTTTTTTTTACGCATGTTTTATCGATTAATGCTACCAAGTTTGTTCATTCACTGTTACCTGCCTTTAAGCAATTAAAGATAATGGAAATGTATTACTTGTCAAAAGCTCAAGTGACTCATTGCATAGGACAAATGGAGCTTGCACCACGGTACTTTGTTACATTTGGTTTGAGTGACAGCTATTTTAGTCTGGTGTGTAATATCGAATGTGTCAAGGTGACAAAACTGTGCAGAAGTTCTATTATTACCTCTAACAGAAACATATTTCCAATGTAGCACACACAACACTCTTAGCTGAAGTCAGTGCCTCTTCACAATTGAAGTGCCATCATTTACAGATATAGTTTATCAGTAATTTCCCCCCATTGCTCTAATTGCAGTATTTGCTCGTTTCTAAATGTACAAAGGAATCCTTTCACTTAGGTTCTTTCATGTTATATAAAAAGTACTCGAAGACCAAACATTTTCTTTCACTGCCTTTCTAGGCTGTAACTGGATCCCACGAGAAAGGAATATCATATACCAGTTCTAGACAGCGATAAAAAAGGCTGTTGTTTAAATTTTTTTTCCGTGGCCAACTGGTTTTGTCCGTGTGTCTGTGAAACATTGATAGCGGTGTAGTTTGGTTCAGTTGTTTCAGCTGCGCCCTAATTTCAACGGCTGTGACGCTTTTCCTCCTCAGCGGGATATTCAATAAGCACGGCTATCATCTGATGCAAGCCATGAGATTCGCCATTGAGGAAATTAACAATGGCAGCGGAGGAGAGAACCTGCTACCAGGAGTTACCTTGGGCTACCAAATCTACGATATTTGCTCTGAGCCTGCTAGCATTCTGGCCACTCTTGACGTGCTTGTCCAGCAGTATGAATACAATAGAGAGCCGGAGTCTCCCAGCACTTCCAGGACCAGAGCCATAGCTGTCATTGGGCCAGACAGCAGCAGCTATGCCTTCACTTCTGCTGCCACACTGGGCTACTATCTGATTCCAGAGGTGAGGAATAATTCAGTTGTTGTATTTGAACAGACCTCTTGGCTCTGCCCAAAACTACCATTGGTTTTCACAGGAGAGGGGGCTAAGGGCTCGTGATTGATGAGAGGACACTTCTAGTCAATACTGGCGTTGCAACCAATTTACTTATTTTAAGAGTGTAAACCTGTGATGAAAACTAAGACAATTTATCCCCCACCCACATTATGCCTTCCTTCATCTACACCGTGCTTTGTAAGAAACCCGGTTAAACAGAACCTGCAATATCAGTGTAGAAGTAGTATTTCTCTGTTGGTGCTGCATCTCTTTTGTTATCTATGTTGCAGATCTCTTACGAGGCCACAAACGAAATGCTGAGTAACAAACAGCTATACCCAGCGTTCTTCCGCACTATTCCAAGCGACAGGAACCAGGTCAGGGCCATGGTGCAGCTCCTGGTGAGGTTTAAATGGACGTGGATTGCCCTGCTGGGAAGTGACAATGATTATGGGCAGCAAGGCGTGCAGAGCCTATCCGAGCTGGCCTCAGAATACGGTATTTGTATCGCCTACAAAGGGATCATCCAGACATACACGGACTCCAGACGGGAGGAGATGCTTCAGATGGTCAGAAGCATCGTGGACACCCGGGTCAATACCATAGTAGTCTTCTCCAGCAAACGCATTGCCAGCGGTTTCTTTCCACTGGTTGTCGGGCAGAACGTCACGGGCAAAGTGTGGATTGGATCGGAAGACTGGTCGATATCGACCAGGGTGTCCGGCCTCCCAGGCATTGAGAGGATCGGTACCGTCCTCGGGATCTCGACCAAAACTGCAACCTTACCCGGCTTCGAAGGGTTCGAGGCCCTCACTGTAGAAAAAACGAGACGTCCCGTCGCCAACGAATCTGAGGACGAGAGACAGCGCGCACTTGGGTGCCTGCAAGGCAGCGATGCCTTCGGCACATTGACTCCTGGAGAGGTGCCATTGAAGGAGTTCGATGTTCAGTCCTCCTTCAATGTCTACAAGGCTGTTTACGCCCTGGCGCATGCCTTGCGCTCCCTGCTGGACTGCGACTCGCTGGCGTGCAGTAGGGTGGAGGCCCTGCCATGGCGCGTGAGTCAACACTTCGACAGCGTTTTCCAAGCCGCATGAGTAGGCGATGTGTGGGACGAAGAGAAAGTCTGTAAGAGAACAAGTAGGGGTTAATTCAACACTGAGAAACACAAAAACCTCTTCAGGAATGTGTGGCCACAGAAGAACCCAATGTAATTTTCCTTCTTTCTAAATTTCAGTGTGGCATTAACCCCTGCTTGTTTCTTTGCAGATCCTCATTGGAGCCTCTTCTAACTTGATCTATAGTCTCTCTCAGCTGTACTGGCCAGTTGTGACATTTAGAACCTGAGTAATGACATTTAAATCAACAATTAAAGACATTGTGTGCACTTGATATTATTTTTGCTGTATTCCTTATGAGTCAAGGTTTTCAGCAAAAATAAGACAACACAAAAGTAAATGACTACAGTTTGCGTGGGCAGTACCAGTATACTGCTGTTTTAGATTTTCCCCTTTATTTTTCTTTGTTGCGTTATGGTGTTGTTTCAATGTTTTCTCCAGCTCTTGGAAAAGTTGAGGCAAGTGAACTTTTCTGTGGGGAGTGAGCCAGTGTACTTCAACGAGCATGGTGACCCTCCCGCAGGCTATGACATCATGGCCTGGGACTGGGCAGGAGGGAATCTGTCTCTGAGGCTGGTCGGAATGTATAGCCCAGACCCTGAGAATCTGGACATTGATGCCAGTCTCATCAACTGGAACACAGGCCGCGAGAGTGTGGTGAGTGGAGCTTTTCTTATATACTCTTTACATTAGGAGTGTTCGTCCAATCCTAGTGTGAGCGGAGTTTTTGTTTAAATAGTCCCGTTTCATTATTGAGCATGAACCTCTTTTGTGTTTTCTTACGCTCCTCTATTATTATTTTAGAGACAACAGAGATGTTGCTTCTAGAGCCATGAAGTGTCATTTTAATCGAATGACGGAGGTACCACCTTGTAGCCTGGTGGTATCCAGATTGGGAATGAAGGAATTAAGTGTGGGGATTCTCACAACACTTCTTAACAGAGAGAGAATAATTGGAAGTAACTTCTCTTTAAGAGATGTTGATATTCCTTCACATTCAGGCCTCGTGAAAAGCCAAGCTTAGCTTTTGAGGTGTTTGGGTATGTGACATTTAGTGCTTGGCATTTTGCTGTGATTGGATTAACTCAGTGTCAGGGAAGAAGGATGTCACACAGTCAGCGCCTGTAAGCCGAGTTCAGCTGGTCTTCTCCCCAGGTTCCAGAGTCGGTGTGCTCACCAGAGTGTCCCGAGGGCTACAGGAGACTGCAGACGGGGGCTCATGCTTGCTGTTTTGATTGTCAGGCCTGCCCACCCTCCACTTTCCTCAACAGGAGCGGTAAGCAAACAGCTCACAGCTTCATCTTCAGGTTTAGTGTGCATCACCTCTAGGGTACAGAATTCCATCAGAAAGTTAGGCCATCAAACCACAAAGCTTTACCGTTACCCTCAACATCACTCAGGGCTTTAGAAATCCAAAGCACACAAGGCCTAGTGACCAGGGAACCCCAGCCCTCCTCCCTGCGTGAACATGCCAGGAAAATCCCAGCAGGTGGCACAATTTACACACAAACTACAACCCGTTTTTCTTGAATCGTCTTTCCCTCACTCCCAGAATTTTTTATCTGGGTGAAAACAAACTGAAAACTAATTTCTTTTTTTATTAGGGTGAAAACGAACTGAATCCTATTTCTTCTGTGTTTTTCTGACCGTGTGTCAGGATATACTTTCTGCCAGCCGTGCAAGCAACGCGAGTGGTCCCTACCAGAGAGTGAGCACTGTGTCAACAGAACGGTGGTCTACCTGCCCTGGGAAGACAGCCTGGCTGTAGCCCTGCTGGTCTCTCTGGTGCTCACCCTCCTGCTGACCCTGGCCACAGCCCTGCTCTTCCTGCTGCATCTCAACACCCCGGTGGTGAAGTCGGCGGGCGGGAAGACATGCCTCCTGATGCTGGCCTCGCTGGCGGGGGCCACCTGCAGCTCGTTCTGTCACTTCGGCGTGCCCTCCGGGCTGGGCTGTGCCCTCAAGCAGCCCCTCTTCACCTTCGGCTTCACCGTCTGCCTGTCCTGCATGGCGGTGCGCTCCTTCCAGATCGTCTGCATCTTCAAGATGGCCTCCAAGCTGCCCAGGGCCTACGAGGTGTGGGCCAGGAAGAGGGGGCCTCAGGCCGTGATCCTCAGCTCCTCGGTGGTCGCTCTGTTCGTCTCCCTGCTCCACGTTCTCCTGGCCCGGCCTGTGCCGACCGAGGTCTACAACATCTACCCGGACACCATCATTCTGGAGTGCAGCGGGATGGAGTCTGTAAGCTCCATCCTGCAGCTCGTGTACATCGCTATGCTCAGCTTTCTCTGCTTCGCTTTTAGCTACATGGGGAAAGACCTGCCGGCCAACTACAATGAAGCCAAGTGCATTACGTTCAGCTTGCTGATCTATTTGATCTCCTGGCTCACTTTCTTCACTGTCTACATCATTAGCAGAGGGAAGTACCTCATTGTGGTCAATGTCATGGCCATCCTAGCTAGTGTATTGGGGATACTGGGGGGCTATTTCATGCCCAAGGTCTACATCATTGTTCTAAAACCCCAAATGAATACTACAGCCCATTTCCAGAACTGCATTCAAATGTACACAACCAAGAAGAGTGAGAACTAATGAAGTAAAAAGCTGTTGTACATGGACTGTATTATAAATCCGTGTGATTCAAACAGGCTCGGGATAATCTATGGAGAATGCAATGGCCTTTTTGGATGCTGGTTGAGATACTCTGTCCTTGGATTTAAGGGTTCCACTACAGAAGTCTTTTGTTTAATGAAATAGTTTATATCCCAAATCTTACCTTGTATTTGCTTTAGCTATAACGAATACTGTACAGGCACATAGGAGAAACCCTCTAGCAATTGGATATTTTTACCCCCCCAATAGACCTGAGATCTTATTGCCGTTCGGAAAAATGTATTGAATGATTTTTTTCTAGGTTATAGCTGTACCAGATTTCCCCTCAGTGCCATTCTGGACGTTCATATATTCCGACTTGCTAAGGCATGGGAAGAAAGGGAGCAATAAAATAGAATGAAAAGAAGAAAAGACTGCAGACCAGTGCCATGCCTTCTGGTGACTGCTCAGGCAGGCTGCGGCCTTTGTCTCCGGGCATGTCTGTGTGCCCACTGTTGGCAGCGCTGACTGCCGTCTGGAGTTGAATGGGCCAACTGATTTACGCCTGCCTTTGCCAGAAGCTCTCGCAGATGTTCTGCGGTCTTCTTTGTGATTTGTAGGGTCTTATGCCACGGCACAGGTACTGTACTCTGGGCCAATCTGGCCCGGCCCTAGGGAAAGAGAGGGACAGAGCTGGCAATGAAAGTCAAGGGCAGTAAAACCCTTGTGTGTTATTTTCAGGGGACAGAGAATCATATTGTACTTCCCCCAGTATGGATATTTGCAAAGATGCAAAGAAAAGGCACCGGATTAAGTCGCGCTCAGTTAATAGGTGAGGCAGTCACTGTAAGGTGTGTGTGCTGTTTGGTGTAGGACAAACATGTCGCTGCAGTAACAGCCCTGATCCCAGTCAAGTAGTGTTCTTGTGATTCTTCAGAAACAAGAAACGTTTAGTTCCTTCAGCCTGTCAGTAGAGAAGAATCCCAAAATAAGGCTGAAATGCTACTTCAGCGTGAGGCTGCAAGCTGGTTGTGCAAGAAACCTTCAACAACAATGACTATCTGCTGCTCTGTAAGGAAAAATGGACCAAAATCCAAAAGTCACTTTGAGAAACTGATCTACAGCAACAAGAAACATTTGACTGAAGTAATAACTGCTCACACAGGTCCCAGGAGATACTGAATCTAAGTATTTACATACAGTACATACTCACATGAGGATATTTACTTTTGGAACCTTTTATTGGTAAGATACCATCATGACCTGGGGATTTTTTAATCTTGTGTATTTGAAATACCCCAAACATTTCTACCTCTTGATGTTAAGACTGTTTTATAAATAAATGTAGCTTTCTTCTGCCTGAGACACCATATTTTGTTCCCAAGTGAAATACCACCATTACAATATTCCTTTCAATTTCTATTTTGACATGCTTTTTCAGCTGTGCTTACAATTCATCATGCTTTTTTTCTCTAATTGGATCTTGTCATGTTTTAATCATTTCATGAAGTGTTTTCTTTCCCCCTGTGTTTTTACTGACTGATTTGTTGAGCCATGCCGGACACTGTTATAGATTTTTTTTATTATTTTACTGTTGGGATAAATATCTTCTGTGCTTCAAGCATAATCTGTTTGAAGTGTCACCATCCACTTTCCACTGATTTATTTTCAAGGAATGATAAAATACTAGCACAGCAGTTCAAAACTGTAGGAGTGCAGTATATTTCCACAGTCTCCTTGTCAGGTCTTATGCTATTCGATTGGAATACAGTATCGGCAGGAAGGTTCATTTTACAGCTTGCATATTCAATTCATTTACTAAATTAAATTACATCAATGCAGCTATATGAAATGTAATTGTTTCTCTCTTGAAACAAGCTCTTATCCTATGAAAACTCCTTTCATACTTGTGAATATGATCAGGCAGTTTAAGTCGTAGGTTATTCAACTTCTTGTTGCTGCTGCTGTTCTGTCTATGTTTTTGGTGATTCCTTTAATGTCTTTGTATTGGAGCACGCGTGCAAATAAGCATTTCATTGCACGTGTGCACATGACAATAGACTGAACTGAGATCTGAGTATCATTTTAACATTTTAAATCTGTATGACTACTTTTCATGTAGGTCATACTATATACCATGTAGAAATGCCATGTGAAATGGTTGCAATTGCGAATTAAATTTAGATTGTCAAGAAAGAAGGGGTTGCTGTTGTATTGAACAAATTTGTAAATTGAAATATATATGTGTATAGCAGAGTTAAATGCAGTATATGAATTAATATTTTTAAGACTCAACAGTAGGCAGAGTAAAGAGTGCACTACTATGCCTGTTATTATTTCTGTAACTATGCCCTACTACCACAAATAAAATGTACTCTAAAACAAGTATTACTAATGAATTATGGTAACTAATACTACTTGTACATCTAATTATCTTCCATTATAACAGAGTAAGAGCATTTATAAATAACATTTTTTTATAATAGAATATCAACATTCAGATGCTGGCGATAATAATGAGGCCGATCAGAGAGACTGAGTGCAACACTTTTGGTCTTGTATATGGCAGGTCTATGTGATTATGAGGATGCTTAGCTCTATAAATCTATAGATCATTTCCCTCAGGTGCAAGGTTAACTCTAATATTTTCTACCCTTAAACGTAGATAGATAGTGTTTTGTTGTGCTTAGGGAGCTCTGTCACTCAAAAGCAGCGTGATGTAGTGGAATCAATGCTTTTGAACAGCGCTAGACTGCAATGGCGCGCAGTCACCAGGAGAGGGCGGAAATAGACTACAATAAAATGGAGGCGAGCTGCGCACACCTCACAGGAGGAATCACACAGCACGTTTCTTCCCAGAAATGCTGCAACTTCCAGTTTGTGCTCAGCTGACCAAGAGTACTTGCAGCACGCAGTAGAGCATTGCTTTGAATGGACGTTCTTTTTAGATTTTCCTATAGACTTTATATTAATACGAATGCAAATTTATATTTTGTTTCGTACCAAGGACGAATCCAGGAGTGCTTCTCAGTGCAGTCCCAGGCGTTAAAAAGAGCTCTGGCATCAAAAGCCAGCAAATTCTAACCACACAACATGCATATATACAATTTGAAGCAGCAAATATCCCATTTTATTTCTTCACAACATGAAAATGTAATGACAATTCAAACACCAAATATGCAGACAAATTGCACAGGTGCCCACCAGACTAAGACCTACGTCTTCCTTATTTTGACTTCTCGAAAATGTATTGGAGTAAATATATTTAATGATTATACATTTATGTGCTTTTCTGGGTATGTTTTAGCAAAAATCATTATAATAATGTGCATTGCCTATATATCCCACCTGTGGCTATACATCATTAATTCATAACCTATTGGAACTGTTAGCCAGAACAATAAGAGCCAATTCTCAATTAGTGAGCTGGAGTGGGACTGTAAAGAGACTGAGTCCAGAAAAAAAGTCTAAACCAACAAACAGATCAGACGTAGGCACCAGTTAATACTGGGAATATAGGGCCAGCTGCACACCAGGAATGACAACCACTGCACTAAAAGGGACTATTTCAGACTATTTCTGAATATAAGATAGAAAGAGTGTACTCTGTTCATGGACTGAACATTGCAATAATTCAATTATTTGTACTTATTTAAAACAAGATAATTGTATTTTCCATTCAATTCTCATTAAATACATCTAGAGACATTTTAGATATAGTTCCCCCTTGTGGATGGGTATACTTCAGGTATAACGTTTACTGATCTTTTATGTGGCTGCTCTACATTGGGAAAAATAACCTAAAGATGAAGACAGGCACCAGAATAAGCAATGATTTTCATTGTTTTAACAACCTCATTCCTCAAATAAAAGACAATTACTCTTATCTAATCTGTAGTCCCTGCACACAGTGGGGCTGGGGTTGAAGTGCTCACACTCTACATCTCTATTAATTAAAATCCCCTACAGTGATCGAAACCAAGTATCAAGTCAAATACTGTCCTACCACTGAGCCAGAGTGGTGAGTTAATGAAGGCTGAAATTGTACATGCTAATCTCAGGCATGCCCCTGAAATACTTTGCATATGATGAGAACAATCCTTACTATCATAATGCATTGCTCTTGAATTTGCTGACTGTGTAAAATCAATCAAGAAGCCTTAAGCATCATGCAACTGCCTAATTATGATCATTCCAAATTTTTAGGTGTCTGTTTTGGGGTTTGTGTATTCTTCAGTGATGTCTTGTTTTTCAATTTTTCGTTCGTTCTGTTACTCACAAAGCAAACACAGTAACATCATTGTAATGTACGGCTTCTGGAATGAGTCCGGTGTTTACAATTTTTTTTAAAAAAATACTGGGGTATTTTAATGATTGCTGACTTAAACTAGTCCACTGGTACAATCTCAATCAGTAAAAGCAGTCTAATATTTGCATACACAGCAACAAACCAAAATCTGTTAGCCACATTTAAGGTAGTCTGTCGTGCCAGATATTAAGGCTTAATGCATTAAGACTTTGATAATCCCAAACCAACCTAAATTTACCATTTGGCTAATTTGCAAAATTTAGACTGCACATGTTGATCAGGTGTCTCTTGTTTTTACTGTGGATTGTCCCAAAACTGCTATTTATACCACTGAAGGTTATAGAGCACTGTTACATGGTCCACTCTAATATATAATGTATCATTTACCTTATATGAGTATTTATATGAAAAAATAAATATTCACACATTGCACTGGTCAAAGTTTCCCATGTCTCCTTTATGAGCCCTAGCTACGGGGAAATAGAACAGTTGTCTAAAGTTGCTGACTTTTATTTTGATTCATGCACAGCTAAAAAACAAGTCTATTTAATCTCTTTCAGTCATCTTAATCCTATTCAAATCCACTGTGTACATCTGTATATCCATAGTATCCCACTTCCAGCACTCTGAGTTATGCAAATACATGGAAAGTCTCACATGCAAATGCACAGCTGTGTGAGATATTTTGCAATCCAGCACAATTTCCATTTATTGTCATTGCTTTGACATCACTTCCATAGCATCAACATTGATCTGTCTTTGGAATTTGATATTAAACAGCAGGAATGCTTTGTCTCTTTGCTTTCCTTCTGTTTCTCAAAGGTATTGATTGTGCAAGTGGAGTTTCTCAGGAAGCAGACAGCCTGCCCTTGGAGTTCACCCAGCGTGGAGAATACATGACAGGAGGACTTTTGACCTTCTGTTTGACACCTGGAAAAGACAGCAGCAATGGCACTAAGTGCAAATGGTAAGAAAACAGGCAATTTGGATTTGTAATACATACTAATTTAAGAAGCTACAATCAAAACAATATTGCCAGGTCAACTAACTGCAAAGTGCCTCAAATGAGACGTCTTGCAGTCACCTTTGTGAATAATATCTCTGTATCCTTTCTCCCAGTTATTTTAAGTTCAATGGTTGTGAAGAATGGATACAGGACAGCTAAAGGCAACCTGTGCACATAGGACCTGTTTTACTGTACTTTAAATTCTTTAGCCCTGCTCTTCTAAATTTAGCTTTACTACATCTCTGTTGGTTATTTGGTGATCATAATACTATACTTTACTTAAGTTGTAATTTTCAAATGATTTTTACATGTCTTGCTTTCCACATTGCCAAGGGAAATTAGATATTCCTTTGTTCAAATTCTCTTAGGCCTTTCATACAATGTAAAACAAAGCCTTTTCCAAGAAAATGCTTCTGTAAATTATTAGTTCAAATTGCATAATAAATGTGCATGATATATATATACAGTACATACATGAAAAGAAATGATCAACATGTAGAAAGAGCTCATGCACAGTACAGTATGTCTCCTCTAAAGTTATCATTGCCCTTGCTGCCTCTCTCTCCCGGCAGTGCAGAAATGGATAGCTGGGCTTGCAATTATTGGCACATGCTGACTCTTGTCCTGGCTGACATCAACAACTCCAGCAGTCTTCTACCCAATATCACCCTATGCTTACAGATGATGGACTGCTACCTCGATACAGACTGCTTCGAGTCCACCATCCCCCTCCTCAGCACCAAGAACAGACTGCAGGTGGGCTCACAGCCATTGATGTACAATGAGGACACCAAAGTCAAGGCAATAATAGGACCAGTGTACAGCAGCACTGCGCTGGGCATGGCCTCAGTTGTCGGTGCTTTCTGTGTGCCCCTGGTAAGGTTCTGTAATGTACAATCCTTGGTCTCCTTAAGCACTCATTTGAAGGCTGGCAAAACTGCTGATGATTAAAGATCTGTTTAACCGTGTTTCAGCTTGTTTTAAGCCTTGTAAGTAATTGAGTCTGTACTGAGTTCCCTTTTGGATCACATTCGTTTAAGAGGCCTAAAGGCTTTTAAGAGGCCTAGTGTATATGTTCAACTCATGCCATTCTAATGTAGAGAAGACCATAAGCCATGTTTTGGAAGATAGGACACAAATGTCCCGTTTCACTCATGTTTCTCCCCTAGACTCCCAAATCTATGTGTTCCGAGGAATGCCAGCCCGGACTACAGAAAGCAGATAACGGGACTCCACTGGTGCTGCTTCGATTGCAAAGTTTGTCCGGAAGGAACATTCTTCAACACAAGTGGTGTGTAAAACCTCTCTTTTGCATTGCTTTCACCTGCCTGCCTACTGATTTAAATGTGTCACTTTCAGCTTGTGCCCAGAAGGGCAGAAAAATCAACATTCTTGATCGGAATGCTTTGAAATTCAATGGAAAATGTGTCATTTCTGTTGCTACACACGGGATGTGTAAAAGCACTTATTTCCCTTTCCAGATGCGTATGCTTGCCAGTCCTGCCCTGAAGGACACTGGTCTGCACAGGGAAGTGAGCAGTGCTTTCCTCGGACCCTGGTCTATCTCTCCTGGGACTATGTGGTCAGTAAGGTCCTGCTGGTGGCCATCAGTGCTCTGCTGCTAGTGCTCACAGCCACAGTGGACGTGTTTGTCATGAAAAGAGACACACCAGTTGTACGGTCATCGGGGGGCAGGATTGCCTTTGTCATGTTAGGTTCCCTTCTGTGCTCCTGTTGCTCCTTGTATGCCAACGTTACTATGGCCTCTGCTTTCTCCTGCAGGTTCAGGACTATTTGCTAAAAGCTACACTGATGACAGTTGTACATACAGCGTGTCAAAGCCTTTATGCACTGCTCACATGGTTTGGTACAGGTACAAAATGTTAACCAGGTCAACAAAAAAAGAAAGCAAATGTAAAGCATATGAAAATGTGGGGCTCGCTGTGCTTGTTCCCAGTGGGGAAATGGGTGCGCACAGCAATTTGTATAACAATTGACAATGCGTGATGCTACGCACGACAGCCTCCGAAAGGCGACAGGTCATTGGCATTAAACTAACCTCATATTTAAAGATGGTTTATTTAATATAATGGCGAAAACGTTGTTTCTTCCATCGGTATCTATCAATATATATTCATATGCTAAAATACACACTCTTGGGTACTTTCTCTTGATTTAACAGCTACCAAAGACAATTACTGTGTATAAAAAGTGTTATAGGCAATCGTATTTTTCTGTATCTTTCGGAAAAAAGAGAAAAAAAAACCAAGAGGCGTTACACATGACCTGAAAGGAGAGGGTTTATAGGGTCGTATTGCCTGGTTGCGGAAGTATTCAGTAACGTCATGCTCGACTATACACAGTATCGGCAAGGGAGCTATGTAAATGTAAGTATTCCTGTTCACACTTCATATTTGCTGCCCAGGTTCCTGATATTTTTACACCAAGACCAGCTAGCTGGGGTATTTTCAATAGCTGCCAAAACAGCAATTTGAGTTCAGCAGCGCTTTCAGGTGCCTGCACTGAAAACAGTGAGACTGAATGCAACGCCTGTCGGTACCGAGTAGCCGGTGTTACAAAATTACATTCTGATGCGCTGTTTTTAATTGAAACGTTGTGTATCTTTTGGGAGAATCAGACAAACATATCTTAAAAAGCTAAATACGACCATAAAAGGTAATTTTCTGCAGCGACGCTATTGTCAATGTAGTCAGATCCCGCAAGGTCACGGAAGCGAAGCCTGTAACCTAAGATTTAAGGAGGGAGACCTCTAAGGAAAACCAAGCTGCTGCTATAATTGCCACTGGTGGACCAGTAGAAGGCACTCTTCCATCTCAAACCAGATTTTTCAAACTGCAGTCCTGACTGCTCTGTCATTACGAGTTCCCATGATTTCGTGGTTGCTAACGCCACGGTGGGCACGCTCAGTCTGACCTCCGTGGATTTCCAGCCTTGACTCAGTTGCTCAAGTTGTCTCACCGTCCCACCCTCATGTCTGCCCGCTCCTATGTGTGGTGGGGTTTTGGTTTAAATGCAGTTTACAAAGACAATGCAAGCATGATGATGTTATGCATACAAAAAATCCAAATAAGGGCAATATTACTCAAATGTTTTATAAGTGAACCCGGCTAGAACTCTTATAGACAAATGTCCCAGTGGGCAGTGATTCGTCGACTATACGTATATATCACGGCGAAAATACGGCTATACGTATATATACGTCGCCGCGACGTATAATCAACGTCGAATTGCAACCGTAAAATCGACGAAATTAATAAAAGCATATATAACGTCGAAAACACATCTAACACAGTCCTGAGGCTTTTTACTGTATATATCGTGTGTTCCGCAACTAGGAGTATACGGCAATCTGCATAGTGTACGAAGTAAATTATTTTCGCAGTAATTAATGTATTTACTATATTTATTACTATATTTACTATATTATACACGTGTTAATACATTAATTACTGCGAAAATAATTTACTTCGTACACTATGCAGATTGCTGTATATCGCAACATATGATCACAACACGAGGGCAGGGGACTTTTGTCGGGGTATGTCATATCGCAATATGCGGGCTTCATGTCACGACAAGGGCCCGGGGGCGGTTCTCATATGCGATAAGTGGGCTCTATGTCGCGACATAGGGGCGGGGCACTTTTGTCGGGGTATGTCATATCGCCATATGCGGTCTCCATGTCGTGACATGGTGCGGGGGTGTTTTGTCGGGGTATGTCATATCGTGATATATTGACTTAATGACGCGAGTGGCGCATTGACAGTGGTGGGCCAAGAAAAGAAGGCGCTATATTGAAATATATTGAAACATCCACCCCACCTGACCAGACATACTCGGAAAACAAATTGCCCCCATTGTTTTCAACACAATCAGGAGTTCAAGTACCGAATTTGTTGGTACCCGTAAACTTACCTCCTCCGCCGAAATATGTTACACCTATAACCTATTAATGGAGTTCCGTGACTGTGTACTAACGACGGACAAGCTTTGAGAACAGTGGACTAAGTACCTGGAAAGTGTGGAAAACGTGTATATCCAGCTCAGTCTTGTCAATTGGGTTAATTCTCTAGGTCAGCTGTTCCTCCCTGCGGGTAGGACTGTTTTTTTTTTCTATGGGTATGTTGACCATAGCTTTATTTGTTCTCCTGCGAAAACCTCTTATAATTTAATCTCGCATGTAGAGTCGTTTCTAGAAGCGTGAAATAAAAAGATGTAGGTTATACAGTGGCTCATAACCTTTACTGCTGCCTCTGCGCCACTTTGATTCTCAAAGTATGTTTTCGCACCCAGGGTCAAAAATCGTTTTTTCGATGATTTGCCTTCTCGAAAAAAAAACAATCTGGAAGATTTTTCTGCAGAAAGGGCATCTCTCACGCCCGGGTTGCGTGCACCCCAGCCTCAGAACCACTGAGTCACGGGGTGAATGGAGCACTCTAAAAACATATTCAGCCGTTGCTACAAGACAGAAGACGCACATAGGAAACAAGTAAACAGGACCACAACGACTATTCATTTATTTAATTAAATGGATGAAATACGCTTCGCTCGCAGAAGTAATCCTTTAATCTTTTTTTCCTCGAGGAGTGTTGCAAATATGTCTTTTATTTGTAAATTAAGACTTTGGCTTATCTTTTCCCATCGAATGGGTTAAGCTGTGAGTACAGGGGTTTGAGTGCAGATCATCCTGTTGTACACCGCTTGTCTTTGTTATCTGATAATTCGGGAAAAGGTGATAAGACTTCAGTCAGTAGGCAGGAGCACTGCGATACAGTACAGTATGGGAACGGAGTGGAACAGATCCTTTGGGAATGGCGCCTGTTTCCAAGGATTGCTTTCCAGCCAATTAACCCCCCCCCCACACACACACACAATCAAACACCCCCTCGCTCCCCCTTCTCCTTACAGCCATCAGTGGGTGCGTCGGGAGCGGGAATATCGGAATCGTGACCCCTTTAATTGACCTCTGGCATAATGGGCTTGTTAAAAAAAGGAGTCAACATATAATTGGCTTGCAAACCAGTCTGTTTGCGATCGACCGCTTTTATGGAAACGGCCGCAAAAATAAGGAGCAGAACCACAGGCTGCAAGAAAGCCCAAGGTTAGAACTGTACGTGGAATACAAACGAGGCGAACGCCTGGCTATGCAAGATTTGGAAAACGTGCTGTGAAATGACTTGTGTGGTGAAAGCGAAGCCAACACGATCGCTGCCTTCAGGTGCGGTCAGGCCAGCCCAGTTTGTGCAAGGGGTGGCTGGCTTTGGGCGCCTTTGAGACCTGTGCTCGGATAGGGAAGGACATGAGCAGTGATCATATATTACACGTACAGCCGTCACACGTACGAGCGGTTTCACGACTTGTCTCCAGATGGTGTGCTCTAGGAATCAAATCCTGAGCTGGAGAGCGACATGAATGCGGCGCGAAATACGACACACTTCTTTTGTCTGGCTTTTGAAAGCTTTGAATGGGGCGAGTGTGGGAAAGCTGGGGGAGCTGGATCTCCCACCCTCGTGTTTCGGGAAGGCTGCTGTGGCTTTGTAGAACACGGCAGCTGGATGGTCACTTTGAAACAGTGTTTACCCAACAGAGCGAGTCGACTTGCCCACAACTCACAGCGAGAGGTTTCCACTCCCCCGCTCAGATACGAAGAGCTCTTTCCCTCCAATTCCCCAGCCCCTCGGACAATAAACACCTTGATAGAATAGATATTTTGTATTCAAAGGGCTTCCCGTACCAAAACTCAGCGTCTTGTTTGCTACTGCATGGGTGAATAAAACTGGTAACACACAAAACAATGTAATTCACTGTAAACGATGAAGACAAGCGAAGGTCAAATAACAATTAGCCACGATCGTTAATCGTCTTGACAGTCTTAATTAAAGCCCAAATCCCCACGGCCGAAAAATGATGGCTGCTTCTCCCACTTAATAACCTTGATAATAGGTCATTTCCCCTGTAGATCCGCCTTTCTCATGGAGCCTCTTTGATTTAAAATATTTTACTGGGTGGAGTGCGTTTGAAAAACTGATTTTTAAAGAACTGGTATATTTGAAAGTCCTTGTCTTCATAGTGAATAGCCAATTGCATTTACCCGCTGCATACATATATATTACAGGCTGATATAACTCCGTCTCGAGACTCCCGTCGATAATGTGGTCTCTGAAATGTATAGAGTGAAAGGCAATAGCTACTATAAGAGTAGCTGTCATTTTATTCATGGGATTATAGAATTTAAGAACGTCAGGAACAATCATTCAGTTTCAAATATTGTTCCCGACTCCATTATGATGTTTTTTTGTTGTAGGTGACACGTTACCCCGAAATTAAACCCTTACGTGAAAGGCAAAAAACGAGGGTGCTAGTAAAGTGGAAATATGTGACCATTGTTTTGTGAACACAGACCTGCTGTACAATTAGTATATAAATGCGACTCGTTGAAATAAAACTTTTGTCGCTGCGGTTTTTTCGGCGGCTTCACTTGAAAGACTTTGCAAGAGTTTGAGTAAGGACCCAGGTTCAAAAAGAACTCAAATTCAGGACGAACACGATATAGTTTTTCATTCTTTTATTAAGCTTAGTATAAAAGAGTCACAGAACAACACAGAGTCCTGGTGTTATCAATATGATAAACAGCAATTAATACATTTAGTGCTTCTTTACTAAGATAAAGAATTTTCTGAATACAGAAGAAAGTTCAGCCCGGACAAGAGCTTGGTTATTTTTAACCTAAGACTTAAAAAAAAATCACTATTATTAATATGATGCTCGTATAAGAGTAACAATCTTTTCCCATCAAGAAAAACAAAACACGCTCCAAGTATTATAAAGCATAAAAGTTTTACAATATGTAAAAACAACTTCAAATTAAGTGAAGTAAAAATTTACAGCATTATTGAAATAGATTAAATACAATTTCACGCTGCGACATCCTCTACAGAATAATCATTAAGGGCAATTTTTGCCTACAATTGTCAGATAAGATAAAAGGGGAATTAATATTTCCTACGAAGGGAGGATTTATTAAGACTGTCACAAGAAGCCCCGTCATCCTCCGTTTTCACAATCCCCGGACCGAGACGCCCGTCTGGAGGACGTCACCAGGGTCTCCAGAGGCGCTCGGCGGAGCGCGGGGCAGCGCGTTTGGAACCGCCGCTGGCGGGCGGGTAGCTGGGACCGGCCGCTGCACCGGCCCCGTCCCGGCCGCACAGCTGGCGGTCTGCCTTGTGGAAGTGGCGGAGAAGCTTGAACTGGGATTTATTCAGGGGGTCGTGCACGGCTAGGAAGCGCAGCGTCTCCTCCAGGCACTTGGAAAAGCCCTCGGCGTAGCCCTGCTTTGGCGTGATCGCCTTGAAGGACGACACGCGGTGCAAGTGGTCCCTCAGGTAGCACACGGCCATCTCCAGGATGTCAGCCTTCTCCAGCTTGGAGCTGGGCTGGCCGGCCTTGAATTCGCTTTCCAGCAACTGCTTCAGCTGCTCAATGCTGTTGTTGATGCGATCCCTGCGCATCTTCTCCACGACTGGTTTTCTTAGCTGGAAAGAAAATAAAAAAAAAAGACTGAAAGTTAGAGAACTGCAACATTTTCCCCAGAATAGGCAGAGAACCTGTGAAACACGCCAGTAATAAGCACACAAAGCTCTTATACTTACTTTCATTTTTTCTTTCGAATTCGGAGAGATACCATAAAGATTTACGGGAGCCATACCGCTCACAACGCCACCAGTAGCTCTCAAGTGCGGGAGTTAATATTGACTGAGCTTGGAGCGTCGCGTCTATTTATATATCTCCGACAGCGTAAGGCGGTGTGAGTCTTTGCTTCACAGGGGTTTCCCACACTTAAAAGCCAATCAGGCTCCGTTGCTGAACAATAGAAGTAGCTTCAATTACTTCATGCTAAATTGACTGCATATTGCCTAGGGATAATAGCCGTCTTCCAAATGAACAGGTGGAGTGTGCGCGCTAATAGGCAGCGCCCGTGGAATCGTGTAGGATCTGGGAAAGAGCTGACCTCCGCAGGGACGCAGATTTGTCTTTTTCGCGCTCTGCTCACCCGTAGTCGAAAAATCACATGATGCCTCATTCAGACAGGAGGATGAAAGCGTGAACAAGGCGGGAAAAAACGACCAAGTGAAACTTTCATAGACGTGAGTGTATGTACAGGATCCCCAGACAACTTTAATGTGAGTAACAGCCCTCTGTTTAATTGCCCGGGTTAAAGAGGATTGTAGATATTTCCCTTTTGAATTAACCGCACATTGCTTGGTCAGTTAGATCCAATTTATTCTATACAGTGACCGACGCCCGACAGTTCATTCATTATTATAAACCTTGTTACCTGGGGGGATCTTGGATTTATAGGGGCAAACATTTTAATATTAAAGGAAATCTCAGAAATCGGATATTATATTATCTAGAATGAAAGTTTGTGTTTTAACAAAGACATTAAACTCGAGGCAATGACGTGAACATACCAGAAAAACACGTTTAATTTGAGCAAAAGTGCGTTTGAGATCATATTCTTGTATACAGCTGTGCAGATCTGCCTGGATATTTAGTCTGCGTTTCCACTGCCAGGCTACTCCAGAGTCTCGCCAAAGGCTTTCTGTAGCGTTTGCTGCGCCGCACTTTGAAAATGAAAAAAAACAAAACAAAACACGAAACTTTGTATAACCACTAGTAATGCGCATTTAATTAGCCAAGAGTGGAGTGTGCTAATTAAAAACACAATTACACTGCTTTAAGAATTACAACATTCTTCTCTGTTCTTTTGGAATACCTCGTTGCTTGAAACCAACAACAACAACAACAACAACAAAAACAAAAAAACCCGGTGAGATTAAACAGAGCTAATGTACGTTGCTCTAATATGGAGAGATGGTACTTTTTAATTGATAACAGTTGGGCAAACCTTATATTAACATGATCCGTGCCCAGATGGTCCTTTGGGAATTGGATACTAAACAGAAGGGCATTGCGAATGGGGCTTAGAACACGGCACACTTCTATTGTCCTCCAGTCGAATATGGAGTGTGGGAAAGCCAGCGCAGTCCGGGCTCCAAGATTCTTGTCTGAAGACCGCATCCGTCATACAAAAGAGCAGCTGGCTGGAGCGCGCGGGAATCTTTCTTAAGAAGTGGTGATGGCTGTCAGCAAAGGTGAATGCCACACTAAGTCTTTTAATTTTGCATCTCCCTTTTTTTTTCGATATTCGGTTTTTACTTTCATGCCATTTCTTTCTTTAAAAAAAAAAACCGGCCAACAAAATCCTTTTACAAATACGATATGCTATGGATAACAACGTTTTAGCTTTGAATAATGCTGACCAGGTATGACTGTAAATTGTAAATATAACATTTACATTTTAGAGGGGTCACCCATGATCTCCCACTACACATGAAATATTCATGACTTCATTCTGGCATTAAAAAATTACCATTATTTAAATGAAACCACGCAGTCGGTTATTGTCACATTGGCTTTTCACTTTTTCTACTTGCATTTAATATTTTATTCATAATGATTTTTCAACGAAAGCTGAATGTGAACTTAAAATGAAAGTGAAAAATGTAACAGTCCACAGAGCTCTGTGAGTGTATTAAAGGCCTCTGTGAGGAACGGGAGAATGTGGAAGCAATCCTTTGGGATTCTCTAAGTGGACTGGCTGTATCCCGAGGCTCGTCACTCGGTAGTTTTAATATTTTACTTTCTTACTGAAAAACAGTTGACAGAATCTGAAACATTTCACGTTTTGCTGCTCTGAAACCCACTACCTAGTATATCGATCCAGGCTGCGTGTAGAATGAATCTAGAATGGTCATCTTTTGTTCAGTGACGTTTCATGAGACACAAACTCCTCTGGTCACATTTCCACTTTTAGCAAAACAGATAACGAGAAACAAATGAATCATTCCTAGGGCTCCTTTTAGATTGTTGCCCCATAGTTGCCCTTTTCTGAAATTGTTCAAACTGGGAGCTATGTCAGGGAATCCTGGGCGCACAGGAACAAGAAGAGGTCACTTCCACAGTGGAAAAGTAGAAAGGAGAAAGAAAAGCATTTCAGCTGTGAAGCCTTCTGCAGGTGTACGGGCTCAGATGTGACTTGAAGAAGGTTTAACAGCAGAAATTGTTTCCCCTTTCTCCTTTTCAGGGTGAAGGTAACCTTTCTTGTTCTTTAATGGAAAATGCTTTTTTTGTTCAGGACTGAAAGGTTGCTGCCAATCGCACCCACCATCTATAGACTACAGCCCAGACAGGATGCCAGTCCCTCTCTGGGCATGCACATATACGTGTCTCTGAATCTATTGTAGAAGCACTAAAGCAGAAAGCAGACGAAACTTCAGGAATGCTGGACGTGTGCGTGCCTGAGCCTTGACTGAGTTTCTCACACCCTAACCAGTAACGTCTTAAGGAGACAACGGGATTCGGGATTCTGCTAAATAGGCTTCCACTGTCCGCTGAGTGACAGCAGCTCCCATGCTGAGGGGAAGGTGATGTGCATCTCATACAATATGAAGCATCTATGAGACTCCGTCTCTCTGGAAGCTGGGAAACGACTGACCTCTCGGGTAGATTATAACCATTCCCTTGATGTGGCTGCTCAATCGCATTCCAGCGTCACGTGATCCCCCATTCACAGCAAAGCCTTGAATAGCTTGGCAAGGCGCGAAAATGTTCCAGTGTCAAATGTCATCGGACTTCATTCTTTAGAAAGCCGTGACTTAATAATAGCATATTGGCTTTTGTGTCGGTTGTTTGCTAAGTAAAAACAAAAAATGTTTTTCTATGTGATTTTAAAATATTTAATGTCCTTTACAAGTGGGTGCTGGTGTGTCCTTTTTTTTTTTACTCTGTGGGATATTGTTCTTTCTGTGTCTCATGCGTGGATGAAGGACTTGCTCAGCACGTTGGCCTTTGAATCAAAGTCTTCCAAATTCTCCACTCAGGTTTCCATGTGCAGAAGGCACCTGTAGTTATTTCATGACGAATAAAGGTATATCATTTAACATGGAAATGAATATGCCCAAAGGGTGCTAAGGGGGGCTAAGATTTCAACTGGAAACCAATCTATCCATCCGTCCAATTTGCATTGCGGTTATGTGGTTATTCTTTTTGTTCCTAACTAGAGTCTTGTGAAAAACAACGGGGTTTTGAGGAAGTCCAAGTCTGCTTTTCTAAAAAGATACACTGCACTCACCAACCCCCCCCTGTCCTTTTTTAAGGTGTACTACAAATAAATATATGTTTGGCTAACACAGCAAATGCCCAGATGGCCTATTGAAAACAAGACACAATAAAAAAGCAGTCTATCAGTGGCAGGGCGTGCCAGAAAAGCCCACTTGTTTTGTGTGGAGATCTCAGGCGGCAGTGAATAAGAGCAAAGTGTGGGAAAGAGGAACGGGCCTGCGCTCTAAAGAGGGACTTCTGTTAAACACAAGAGCAGCTGGGCCTGCTACCTTGAAACTGTTTAGAGGAGGCCTATTATAGAGACGTGTCCTTTATCATGAAGTAAGGCTGGATGCTGGCATTGCGATTACTTCATACCTTAAGCATGCCTTTCTCTCTCTTTGTAAATATGGTGGGAAGAAACAGATAAAGGGAAGGGCTTGCAATGAACTCGGCTCGGGATCTCGCTGAGAATTTCACACCTTTGTTTTTCAACTGTGCGCCCAGACGCAGGCAAATCACGTCTGCTAACACGAGGCAGTGCGCTGGAGAGATTTCTAACCGAGATGAGCCAGTGAAAGTGCTCTGTGTTAAACGGTTTATCTTTGCAGAAACTCCTGGGTTGACCCAATCCGAAACCCTCATTTCAGCTGTCTTGAGTGTGCGTCTCTATGCGCAATCCTCACTTTGCAAGCAGAAGTTTATAAAAAGTGATGGAAAATTAACTTGGATCCATCTTGAGACTTTAAGTGCAAATGCATGCATTTGTATGAATGCCATGTAAGCTCTTAACCTTGTGCACCTGCTCGGATATGATCCGTGTCTGAAGGTGCCATGTGGTAATGATATCTCCTCTGAGCACGTGCAGGACCACCCAGAGGGTTGGCACCACTCCTCTCTTTCCACGCCCCACGCCCCACTCCTCCCTCTGCTCCACAACGAACCATCGCCACCCCACCCCACAGGCACTTCAATTAGAAACTGACCCTTCACATACCTGTAATGAGTGTGTTATACACATGCTACATGCTAGATGCTACAGACAGAAGTCATACTTAATGTAATCATTTGAGGGTGTAAACTTGCTCATTGTATAATTACTTTCCCTGATGTGACAGACTTCCATTTTAAGGTTGTGCTGATGGAAAGAGGAGGCCAACAAATAGGGGAAAGCACCTTAATTACCAAAAGAACTGACCTGAGCAGGCTTGATTTCCTTTGCAAAAGGGCAGCGCAGTGCAGGCGAAGGGACTGTGATGCTGTGCAGGTCTGCATGCACCCAGGAGGGAGGTGGCTCTTCACTGATCTGTGGATTATGATGGTGATACAAGGCTTCTGATCGGGAGAGGTCAGCTATTGGCTTTGGAACGTGTGAGTGGGAGCTTGGCTGGGTCTCCCACACTGTGCCCCCGTTTACTGAACGATTTTCTCAGCGGGGCAGGGCAGTACAAGTGTGCCTTTGGTCGGGGGGCTTGGTAATTGTGTTTAATTGACATTCCCAGTGAGAACATATGTTTATATGTGTGTAAGAGAGAGAGGTAAAAAAATACAGAAGGGCCTCTATACGTTTAAAATAAAATCTATATTTCCTCCGAGATATAGAAACATTTAGACACTGTTTTTTTTCTTTCCTTACTGTATAACCCATGAGTGCGCTTGA